TATGAATTTATCACAAATGCAAAATTCGTTCAGAAATAAGAAATTGAAAAATTAATTTTTTTTTTTTTGCAAAAAAACTTTTATTTCTTAATTATAACTCATATCGTTTATTTCTTAATTATAACTCTTTTTTTTAAAGAAAAAACTTGAATAATTAATTAAATATTTTAAAAGTAATTGTATAATCTATCATTCTGTTTTAAAATTATAATTTTTCACATTTTATTAATTATACTTTTTTTTAAAAAAAATGAATATTTTATTAAAAAGGAAACAGTATTGAAATAATTTAATAAATTTTTGAAAAAATCATATTTCTAAAATAAATCGATGAAAAAGAAAAACTTTTTTTTTTAATTTTATAAAGAAATTTGTGTTAAAAAAGAATTAAATTTAAAAAAAAAAAAATTTGTATTTTTTTTCTCAAATAGAATATAATACAATTATTTAATTTAATTTAACAAATGAAATTAAATTATTTTATATTTTTTATAAATTATATTTGTGTATTCACAATTTCTTTCATTTTTTGAAAACAAAATTGGGCGGAAACATTTTGCGCCCAATCATTTTTATATGTTCAATCATATTTCTCTATTTACTCATTCACAGAATTGTTTTATCTTATCATATCATATCATATCATTTCTTATCATCGATTCATTTATATTAATTAATTTTAAAATTTTCGTTTTTTAAAAAAAGAAAAGCAACAAGAAAAAAAAGAAAACATTAACTAATTCGAATTTTTTTTTGAATTTTTAATTTTAGATTGAAATTTCTCCTCTTTTACTAATAATAGTAATGTATTAAATTTTTAAATTTGATTTATTAGATCAAAAGTGTTTTAAAAATTTCATTTTTTACGTCTCGTTACGTACGTACACGCACACATACGCACATACACGCACAACGTATACAAACACTATTTACAATAATAGTAGTGTATTTAACTTTTAAATTTGATTTATTAAGTTAAATTTATTTTAAAAATTTCATTTTTCACGTTTCGTTACGTACGCACACGCACACATACACGCACAGCATACACGAACACTATTTACAATAATAGTAATATTTAATTATTTAATTTGATTTATTAGATTAAAATTATTTTAAAAATTTCATTTTTCACGTTTCGTTACGTACGCACACACACACACACACGCACATACATACACATACAAACACTATTTACAATAATAGTAATGTATTTAATTTTTAAATTTGATTTACTAGATTAAAATTATTTTAAAAACTTCATCTTTCACGTTCCCTTACGTACGCACACACACGCACATGCACGCATGCACATACACACATACAAACACATACATTAACATTTGGTATTATATTTTAGACAAAAGAGAGAAAATGAAAAAAAAAATGAAAACTTTTAAATCGCATTTTTTTTCCCTTTTTTTTTTAATTCTTTATCAGTAAACAATTGTTAAGGTTAGAACAATTTATTTTACAAAAAAAAAAAAAAAAAATGCAAAAAAAATGAGAAAAAAAGAATTTGATTTTTGTTTAAAATAAAAGTTTATATGATTAATTGAATAGTAGAAAATTGAATGTTTTCGTTTCATTTTCGTTTTCTTAAATAATTTCATTTTCATTTTATTATAGCAATTATTATTGATTAAAAATTTAATATTAATATTAGATATTTTATATTCAATTAATTATATCAATTACTGATAATACTATTATCACTCCAATTTACTCGATTTCGTTTTTCTTATTTCAGTGTATTAATAGATTTATAATAATGCAAATAAAAGTAATTTACATTTTAAATTTGAGTAATTATGTTATCGATGAAAGAAAAAAACAAATTGTTTTAAAATAAAAAATATTTACTGTTAAATTGATTTAATAATTTATCAGTTATGATAATGATTAATGATATCATTAGCATTGTAATGATTATCAGTGATAATTAAATTATTGATAATAATTAAAGAGAGAAATGATAAACTTATTTTATGGTACGTTTACCTGTATGTGTATGTGTGCGAAATAATTAAGTATTTAATTTCCAATACTCAATTTTATAAGATTATAAGTTTTTTTTTTTGCGAAATAAACTTTGATTAATATTACTTTTATTAATTTAACGAAGATTTCTTTTTCTTTTGCTAATTTTATTTTAATTAATTTTATATCATAATAATATAATTAGAATGATTTGAAAATTTTTTAGCTTAGAATAAAAAATTTTAAAAACGACAAAAAAATAATTTTTTCTTTTCTTTTCATTTGTATTATACATAATTTAATTTAACATTTTATTACATTTCAATTTCATTAAAAAAAAATTTTTTTTTCTAATTTTATTTATAATTTTTTTTTCTTTAATTTGCATTTAATACCAATGCAAAATAGAAATATTTTTTCTTTCTAAATCAAAAATCAGTAATCTCGAGAAAAATTTTTTTTTGTTATTACAATTGTTTTGTTGATTTTTCTTTTCATTTTTGGCATATATCATTTTAAATTATTTTTTTCGCTTTTTTTGTCTCTCTCTCTCTCTCTCTCTCTTAATTTACCTTTTAGTGATTAGAAAGGTAAATCACTGATATGAAAATGTCTTGAAATGAAATACTAAGCATTTATCATTTTATCATTGTAAAAGTATTCATTTCTATTTAAAGTAATATAATTGATTTAAGATTGTCAATCTTATTTCAACGTTTCTTTTTTGATAAAAAACTAAAATAATTTCAATTCAATTAAAAAACGGAAAATCAGATAATTTTATGCAGATAAATGAGATAATTTTGGTGATAAATAAAATAATTTTAATTTGACAGAAATTGATTATAAATTCAAAAATGAAATATCATTAATCAGTTTAAAATCAATAGTTTATTTTAATTAATTAATTGAAGATAATTTTATAGAGATGAATGAGATAATTTTGGTGATAAGTAAAATAATTTTAATTTGACTCAAATTGATTGCATTTTCGAAGGTAACAGATCATTAATTAATTTGAAATTAGTAGTTTATTTTAATTAATTAGTTGAAAGTTAATGGGGAAAGTAAGATAATTTTAAATGATAATTTTATAAAGATAAATGAGATAATTTTGGTGATAAATAAGATAATTTTAATTTGACTCAAATTGATTATAATTTCAAAAATGAAATAACATTAATTAATTTGAAACTAGTATTTATTTTAATTAATTAATTGAAAATTAATACTTCATTTTAATTAACTAATTATTGAAAATTAACAGTTTATCTTAATTACTTAGTTGAAAATTAACAGTTTATTTTAATTACTTAGTTGAAAATTAACAGTTTATTTTAATTACTTAGTTGAAAATTAATAGTTTATTTTAATTACTTAGTTGAAAATTAACAGTTTATTTTAATTACTTAGTTGAAAATTAACAGTTTATTTTAATTACTTAGTTGAAAATTAATAGTTTATTTTAATTACTTAGTTGAAAATTAACAGTTTATTTTAATTACTTAGTTGAAAATTAATAGTTTATTTTAATTACTTAGTTGAAAATTAACAGTTTATTTTAATTACTTAGTTGAAAATTAACAGTTTATTTTAATTACTTAGTTGAAAATTAATAGTTTATTTCAATTCTTAACAAGAAAAAAAAAGAGAGTAGAACGGTCATTAAGCAAAAAAATCAACAATTTTTTGATCATTTTTGTTAAATTACCAGTTATTTTGTACTTTTATCTTCAATTACTTTTTTTTTTTTATTTAACAGTTTGAAATGAAAAAAAAAAAAAAAAAAACAAGAAATCGTTTTGTTTTTAAATTTGGAAAAAAGTTTGATTAATTATTTGATGGTTTTAAAAGAAAAAAAAAAGGTAATAATAATTGATACTTGTCAGCAACGTTTAGATGTCGCATTGAATTTTTAAAATTAAAACGTTATATGTGATATTATCATATCACATCTTAACACTGAAATTATCACTTCTATTCCTATTAAATATTTGATAACATTATGTTACACTGATAATATCATACCTTAACACTGATAATTATCACTTCTATCCCTATTAAGTATTTGATAACAATATGTTATCAGGTTAAAGCTTGAAATGTATTAAATTCAATTAATCATAAAGGTATGGTATTAGTTTCCAATGTTGCAAAATTACTTTATTGTATAATTGTTTATAAATGCAAAATTAAAAATAAAAAAATGGAAAATATCTGAATAACCCGTCTTACTGGGTAGATAATACTCGAACCAAATAACCCATCTTATCAGGTAGATAATACTCGAATCTATCATACCCAAATAACCCATCTTATCAGGTAGATAATACTCGAATCTATCATACCCAAATAACCCATCTTATCAGGTAGATAATACTCGAATCTATCATACCCAAATAACCCATCTTATCAGGTAGATAATACTCGAATCTATCATACCCAAATAACCTATCTTATTGGGTACATACACTGACACTGAAATTTATCTCAAAGATAAAACTTAAAGAATTTATAATTCTCCAATTTATAATAAATTATTAATACTTTAATGAATAGAGTAAAGTTACCTTCGCCTCGTTTATATTTACTTATTTATTTAATTCACTTAATTCAATTTTTATAATCTATTAAAAATTTAAAAACTTTGCTTTTTTTCAGTCTCAAAAAACAAAAAAAATAACAAAAAAAAGTTTGCAATTTAAATTATTTGTTCAATTCAACTTTTTATAAAAAAAAAATTAATTTTATTTAATCCCTTAACACTGACAAATTTAAATTTACAAAGTTTAATGTTATATAAACAAAAATTTGCACAAAAAAAATTCAGTAAAATGCAAAAAAAATTATTTTTAATATTTTCCAAATACATTTTTCTTAGTATTAATTTATGCGTCATTTGCGCCTATTATTTTAGCGCATTATTTTCTATTGTTACATGCCATTTAATTAAATGTTTTAATGTGAAATTTTTTTTTTACTTTTTAAAATTAAATAATTTTTTAGGTTCTATACGATCCATGGATAACGTTCCTTCAATCATAGACTCCACATTATCACCATCACAAGGTATTATTAAATTAAATTAAATTTTATTTTTTTTCATTTCATTAATATTTTGAATATTTCACGCAAATTTAATTTATTTCCCTTACTTTTATAGAGTAATTAATTAGCATAATTATGTAAATATTTATCTTTTTGAAGTAACATTTGATAAATTTATTAGTTATTTACTTATTAACTCTATGTGAAATGAAGTAATTATTTTCGATTTTTAATTCCATAAAAATATTATTACTGTAACAAATAATAGTATAACTTGTTATCAGTGATAAGATCAATGTGCTAGAGATTTACTTATTAATTACAAAAGAAAGGAGTGATTATTTTTATTTCCGAAAGGAGTGATTATTTTTATTTTAAAGATATGGCTATTGTAACAAATGATAATATAATTTGTTATCAGTGATAAAATCAGTGCGTTAGATATTTACTTATTAACTTTAAAAGAAATGAAGTAATTATTTTCGATTTTTAATTCCATAAAAATATTAATACTGTAACAAATGATAGTATAATTTGTTATCAGTGATAAGATCAATGTGCTAGATACTTACTTAATAACTATAAAAAATCAAGTAACTATTTCTAATTCCATAAAGATATCACTATTATAGCAAATGATAATATAATTTGTTATCAGTGATAAGATCAATGCGCTGGATATTTACTTATTAGTTATAAAAGAATGAAGTAATTATTTTTATTTCCATAAAGGGTATTGTCATATCACTATTGTCACACAAATGATAATATAATTTGTTATCAGTGATAAGATCAATGTGCTAGATATATGTTTATTAAATAAAAGAAATCAAGCAATTATTTTCAATTTCTAATTCCATAAAGATATCACTATTATAGCAAATGATAATATAATTTGTTATCAGTGATAAGATCAGTGTAAATATTTTTCAGGATGGGTTCGTATTGAGTTAGAACCGGTAAATATTCCATTAGAGCAGGATGATTCCATACTTTTATCAACCGTACAATCAGTTATACCTGGTGCACATGGCCTTTACTACAAGGATAACGATTGCAAGAAAGCCTTAAAGTCTTATCATTTTATTCCTTTCTCTCTCTCTCTCTCTCTCTCTCTCTCTCCTTTTTTCTCTTCCCCTTTCTTTTTTTTTATTTATTAAAACAAAAAGAGAAATAAATTGGGATAAAAAAAAAAGTTTATAAATAAAACATTAATATATAATGATAAATGATAATAAATTGATAAAGAAATGAATTAAAATGAAAAATTTTTAATTTTAATTTCAAATTTAAAAAAAATTAAAATTAAAATTAAAATTGCAGATACAATGGTACAACTGGTTGTATATTAAAAGGTCCACCAGGTTGGAATTCTAAGCCAATTTATGTTGTACTTGGTTTGTCTTATTTTCATATAATTAAATTTTTAACTCAAAATTTTTAATTCATTTAAAATTTTTAATAAAATTTCATACTGCTAAAATAGTACAAAATTAGTAATAATAATTTTAAAAGTTTTCAAAAAATGTATTTTTTTTTAAAACAAAATAATTTTTTTTTTTGCTAAATTTTAAGAAAAAAAGTGTATTATTTGAAAAAATTGAAATTAAATAAAACTGAAATAAAACATAAATTTTTATTGGTTACTTTGTGCTTTACTTTTAATAATAATATTACTACTTCATTCATTAAAAAATATTATTATGCTAAATTTTATTTCTAAAAAAAAAATGGATAAATAAAAATATTGCCTAACTAAAATTATAAAATTTAAAATTAAAAAAACAAATCTGTAAAATTAATTAATATTAAATTTTTATCAACAAAATTATAAAATTAATGTATAAAATTAATTTACATTAAATTAAATATTATTTTGCTATCATTTTATTTTAATTTATTTAATTATTTATTTTATTTTTTTCTGTAAAATTAATTAATATAAAATTTTTATCAATAAAATTATAAAATGAATTTATATTAAATTAAATATTACTTTGCTATCATTTTATTTTAATTTATTAAATTATTTATTTTATTTTTTTCCGTAAAATTAATTAATATTAAATTTTTACCAACAAAATTATAAAATTAATGTGCAAAAATAATTTATATTAAATTAAATGTTACTTTGCTATCATTTTATTCTAATTTATTTATTTTATTTTATTTCATTATCTTTGCCATTATTTATTTGTTTATCATTAATTGCCTATCAATTAAACAATTAATATTTAATAAAATGAAATTTCAGGTCGGAAAAAAATTTCAATTGAAATTTGTCACTTTGATCAATGATTTAATCATTTAGTAAATTAAGCACTATTGTAATTTAAATTTTACAACTGAAAACAAAAAAAAAAAAAAAAATAAAAATTTGTTTTTTTTTTGAAAAATAAAAAAAAATTGCGGCTTACATCTTAAAAGAATGATAAATGTTTGAGAGAAATTTCAAAATGAATTACTATTAATTATTAAATAAAATCATTTAGTAAAAAAAAAAAAAAGTAATTTTTCATTTGTAATCATCGAAATAGACTATAAAATAATAAAATTTTTTTAAAAAAAATTTAAGAAAACAAGTTTTGCTTTTTGTTTTTTTTTTTTTGCAAACAAAATTAAAATTTGAAAAATGCAAACAACAACTTTTGAACTTTTCAAATTTTTCTTTTTTCTCCAAAAAGACAATTTTTGAACTTTTAAAGTTATTTTTTTTTTTTTTTTGTTCCATAAAAAAGTCTAAGAGTTATTTACAAATTTATTAAATTCAAATGTTTACAAACGTCCAATTTTTTAAATGCTTCTTTCTTTATATTTAAATAATTTTGAAATATACTCTTAAAATTTTTTATTAATTAAATAAATAAAATTATTTTTTTTTTTAAAAAAAGTATTTGCATTTAAAAATTACAAAGTTACAATTTTTTTTTAAAAAAAAAATGAAATGAAATGAACAAATGACTTTTTGGAACGAATTAATGCAAAAAATTTTTTTAAATTTTTTTTATAAAATAGAAATTAGACGAATTTAAATTTTAGTCGTAGTAAAAAATAAGCAAATTGAATTGATTATATGAAAAAATTAATTCTTTCAAATGAATTTCAAACAAAAATTAATTTGCAAATATGAATAATTGAATTTTTAAATTAATTAATTTAGTTTAAATTAATTAAACCAAAATGAAATAAGCAAATGAATTAAAAAATTTTTTGATATTAAAGGAAATTTTGAAAAATTGATCAATTTTTTATGAGTAATAGTTGAATGGTTTTGTTAGCATTTCAAAATGAAATTTGAAACAATTAAATGAAATAATTGCTCAAATTTTAATTTTCAATCAGAGAAAGATTAAATTTGTGAAAATTTAATTAAACTTATCAATCGCTGATAATTTTAAAAATTAACAGTAAAAAAAAATTAAATTTTGGAATGGATATTCGAATAAAATTAATGAGTACAAATGAATTAAACATTATAAAATAATTAATTAAAGTCCATAAATTACTTTTATTTTTCTAACAAATAAAAAATGAATTTATTTTTTACTGATTTTATTTTAATTTTTTTTTATTATTTAATTTTATTTAAATTATTATTATTTAATTTTATTTAAATCATCATTTTTCTTGATTTTAATTAATATTGCATTTATTTGTTTATTATTAATTAAAGAAATTATAAATAATTAAAATATTCAATTGAAAATTTTTATTTACTTTCATTTTTTTAGTTCTGTTAAATTCATGTTGAAATTTTCAATGCTATATTTCTTGTGTAATTAATTTTTTTATAGATTTAAATTTTTAATTTTAAAGGAATAAATTAAATTGTAAATTAAAATAATTTTTTTAAAAAGAACCAACACTATGAAAGCGATAATATCATTGTTTTTCTTGATTTGTTTAGAATTTAAATGATTCAAATTTCATTGTTCTTTTAAATTTTAATTTTAACAAAAGTTTTGTTTGCTTTTTTTTTAAATGTAACAAATTTAATTGTTTGTTTAAATTTAAAATAAAATTTTAATTTTAAAAATTTTTTCAGCACATGGCTGTCGTCATTTTAGCAGTAGCAGTAGTGAACAATATGCTAATGCTACGGAACGATTTGAAAAAACTGTTAATTTGGTACAACGTATGTTAGGTAAATGTAAGTTTGAAATTAATTTATTATTCATTAAAAATATTTTTTATTTAAATTAAAATTTGTATTTAAGTATTAAATTAATTTAAATCATTTTTTCTTGGTTTTTGATTATTACAAATATTCTTAATTGTAAGTAATATATTTGAAATAAAATTTTTTTGAAATTAACTTATTATTCTTTAAAAATATTTTTCATTTAAACTAAAGTTTATATTTAAGTATTAAATGAATTTAAATCAATTTAAATCATTTTTTCCTTGGTTTTTGATTATTACAAATATTCTTAATTGTAAGTAATATATTTGAATTAAAATTTTTTTGAAATTAACTTATTATTCATTAAAAATATTTTTTATTTAAATTAAAATTTGTATTTAAGTATTAAATTAATTTAAATCAATTTTTCTTGGTTTTTAATTATTACAAATATTCTTAATTATAAGTAATATATTTGAATTAAATTTTTTTGAAATTAACTTATTATTCTTTAAAAATATTTTTCATTTAAATTAGAGATTGTGTTTAAGTATTAAATAAATTTGAATTAACTTTAAATCATTTTTTCTTGGTTTTTGATTATGAGAAGTATTCTTAATTATAACTAATATATTTGAATTAAAATTTTTTAAAATTAATTTAATACCTCTTAAAAATATTTTTATTTAAATTAGAGATTATATTTAAGTATTAAATTAATTTAAAATAACTTTAAATCATTTCTTTTTTGGTTTTTGATTGTTACAAGTATTCTTAATTATAAGTAATATATTTGAATTAAAATTTTATATTAAAATTTTGTACTTGAAAAGATCATATATATATATATATACCCTCATTAAATCAAATTAAATTAAATTAAAATACTATATTTAGTAATTAATAAATGATATTCTTTTGATATGATTAAATTAATAATTTTTTTTTTTTTTTTGAAGATTTAAATTTTACAGCTGATCAACAAATATTGCCTCAATCACACAAAAAGGTAAAAGCTAAATTAACTTATTTCGTATTTGTCATATTGAAATTCTTTTTTAAATTAAAATTTTTAAATTTATAATTTTAATAAATTTAGATTCAAAAATTTTAGTATATATTTAATTGAATCAAAAAAAGAAGGCCTAAAAATGGAATTAACTTTTTAAGCATTTGTCGAATGTAAATATTATCAATTGTGCCCTCAATTCTTCATTATTTATCCAATGATATACTTAAGTTCAAAGGTCAAATTATGATATATTTAAGTTTAAGGATACTTCGATCAGATTAACAGAGTGTAATCATAGTGATAGCAAATTATCATCGTTTGAGGCGCAAATTGTTAATGAAAGTGGAGTTGACAGTGAAGGACGAAACAATGGATCTGTTAGTTTTTTTTTTTTTATAAATTTTTAATTTTTATTAAATTTATAAAAGTTTTTCTGTCTTTCTTATTTTTCTAAAATACTATTTTAAAAAAATAATTAAACTTAAAATTAAATTTAATTTTTAATTTTATATTAAAAAAAAACGATTTTTTTTTTTGATGTGAAACAATTATTTTAGAAATTAAAAAAAAAAGAAAAGTAACATTAATTTAATTAATATAATTGTAGTTTATCAGTGAAAAGTGCTCAAAAACATCAACTGATATCCAGAAATTTGATATGGAAAATAATATTTCAAATCAAAGGTTAACAGTAATTAATTAATTAATTAATTAATTGTAAAAATTTTGTATAAATTTTATAAATTTTTTTTTAGTTTGCTAAATAATTATTATGATAAATTAATTAATTATTGTTAAAATTATTGCATTTGTTTATTCGAAATTAAATTTTAATTTCATTTTTTCAATTTCATTTATTTATTCTTTTTTTTTTGAGAAATATGCATTTTTTCTTAGAAAATTGATTTAAAATTAAATTAATTTTTAATTAAAAAATGAATTTTGTGATTTATTTAAATAAAAAAATAAAATTTCAAAAAAAAAAATGAAATTTTGTTATGAATTATAAAAATTTTATAAGGCTAAAGAATTAATTGTTAAAATTAATAATTTGGAAAGAAAATAATTAATAATACTGAAATTTTTTTTTTTTTGTTTTGAATATTTTAATTTTAAAATTTAATTTCTTCAAAATTATTAACCAAAAAAAATTTTTAAATGAAATTTTAATGCAAAATTGAAAAACATTTTTTTGAAAAACAAAAGAGATGGATGACACAATGACAATTAGTATTTAATAATAATTTATTGAACAAAAGTTTCAATTTTTATTTAAATTAAAAATTTTATTTCAAAAGAAAAAAAAGGAACGAAAATTAATTTCAGTCCATTAATGAATGAAATCGGAAAGGTAAGAAAGGCTAATTTCTCGTCACGTCACGTACGTCTTTTTTTTTTTATTCTAAAGTAAATTTAACAAAAAGAAAAAATCAATAATTAAAAATTTTACGAGTAATTATAATTAAAAGTACTAAATAATGTAATCTAAAGAAATTTGTAAATTAAAATAATCGAAATAAAATTTAAATGTGACATTTTAGGAAGAACAAAATGATAATTTAATCGAGAAATTAAAACAACAAAAGAAAAAGTTTGTTTTATTTAATTTTACTTTAGAAAGTTGTAAAAAAAAAGAAATTAATTAATAAATATTCAAAAAGAGAAAAAAGCAAAAAAAAACTTTTGCAGAATTTAAAAAAATTTAATTAAAGTTATTGTGTGAGCTAAATGTAAACAAATTGAAAAATGAAAAAAATAAATAATTTAGAATAAACAATTAATAATTAATTTTTGATAAAATGAAATTGAAAGTTTTGAAAAATGAAATTTAATAAACACAAAAATATTTTAATGCTATACAAACAAGGATGAACATTTTAATTAAAATATACAAAAATTAAAAACCAAGAAAAAAAAGAAATAAAAATAAAAATTAAAAAATTTTTTTTAGAAATTAAATTTAAAACAGACTAAATGCTAAAAAAGACAATCATTTAAGTCAGTAAACAAATTAGATTTTAAATTTGTATGCAAATTTAAGTTTAATTAAATATATTATAAAATAATGAAACAATAAAAAAAATTTATTTTTAAAAATGAATGATAAAAAAAAATTTATATTTTTAAAATATCAAAAGAATATGAAAAGAAATTAATTATTATTTTAAAACACACAAAATGTTATTTTAAAAAAGAAAAATAAAAGATTCATTAAAAATTATTTAAAAATATAATTTTATTAAATCTAAATTAATTAAAATATAATTTAAGAAAAAAATATTTTAAATTAAATTTTATTTTTTTTTTAAGAATCAAAGAATTGGAAAAAATGCTGGATGATGAAAGAAATAAAGCACAATTATTAGCGAACCTCAACGCGGAATTAAACAACAAATTGAAATGTCAAACATTTAATCAACAACAATCAAAATTTGTACATTAATTATTTTTTTTTCAAACATTTTTAATTTTTACAATTAATTAATTTTAAAATAATTTTAATAACAAAAAAAATAAATAATTCAAATATTAACTGATTGAAAAAATTTTTCATTCAAATCTAAAATTTTTAAATTTTTAAGTTTTTTGAAAATTTAAAATTTACACAATTAGCTTTTTTTAAAATAAATAAATAATTCAAATATTAATTGATTGAAAAAATTATTCATTCAAATATAAAATTTTTCAATTTTGAATTTTTTTGAAAATTTAAAATTCACTCAATTAATTTGTGTTTTTTTTTCCACAATTTAAATGTTTTCGTTTTGGTTTTTTTTTTCGAAAATTTGTGAAATGAAATTATGCAAGGGTAAGTGATAAGCTGATATGATAAGAAATAGGATTATATGATTAAATTTGATAAGTGATTAATTTGAGGAAAGCGATAGAATGCAACAACAGTCATCGAGAAATGATTTAGACGAGAAAAATGACGAGATTGATAAATTAAATAAACAAATTGATGATTTGAAATGGAGTCTTGGTGAATATAAACAATGGTTAAATGATGCAAATGAAAAGTAAATAATATTGAAATTATCATTTCGTTAATTAATTTTAGTATAATTGTAGTGATAATTGAAGGCGCAATTGTCCAATGTATGTTTAGGTAAAAACAAAATTATATTTTAAAATTTTCATTTTATTGATTAATTTTAATATAATAATATTATTATAATATAATTTATAATATATTTGTAGTGACAATTGAAGGCGCAATTGTCCAATGTATTGTTTAGATGAAAACAAAAGTATATTTTAAATTTTTCATTTCAAATGATGCAAATGAAAGGTAAATAATATTGAAATTATCATTTCGTTGATTAATTTTAGTATAGTTGTAGTGATAATTGAAGGCGCAATTGTCCAATGTATCGTTTAGGTAAAAACAAAATTATATTTTAAAATTTTCATTTCGTTGATCAATTATAATATAATAATGTAATTATAGTTTTTTTTTTTTAATATAATTTTTTTTTTAATATAATAATATAATTTAATTTATAATAGAGTTTTAATGATAATTGAAGGCGCAATTGTCCAATGTATCGTTTAAGAGAAAAAAATAATTTTGAAATTTTCATTCCATTGATTAATTTTAATATAACAATTGATTATTCTTGATTAAATTCTAACATGTTTTTTTTTTTTTAAAAATATTTTTTTCATTAATTAATTTTAATATTTTTTTAATTAATTTTAATATTACTTACTTTTTTTTACTATTTAGTATAACATAATTATAATATAATTTTAGTATAACATAACATAATTATAATATAGTTGCAGTGCTAATTGAAGGTGCGCAATTGTCCGATGTATTGTTTAGCCAAAAAACGAAAAAATTAAATTAGTAATGAAAATGTGACACTTTCTAAATATTTTATGACTTAAGTCTTTTTTCACGTCACGTATTGCGCTGTAATTCTCTTTTAATATACTATGTTTTAAGTTTATTTTTACTTTTAATTTTAATTTCGTAAATAATTTACTAATTACATTCTCTTGAAGGATATATCAATTGGTAAATGCATGCAAAGAGAAAGATGACATTATTGATGACGTGACGCATCGATTTCAAGACGTGGAAAGACGTCTTCTTGACGTGCCAACTGATCAAAGTATTGCGTAAGTGTAAAATTTTAATTTTAAAATTAAAAAAAAAAAAAACGTTGAAGATTTTTTGAAAAATGAAATTTTTTTTTATCTTTCATATATTTGCTTTTTTTGAAATTTAATTTTTTAAATACTTTTTATAAATAATTTACTTTATTGTTATTGAAAATTTTATTTACTCTTTTAGTCAAAATTTTTAAACGCAAAAAATTAAACAAAATTAATTTTTATAAAATTTGATAGTATAAAGAAAAAATTTTTCGGAGTGAAAAAACAATGAAATATGAAATTAAAAATTCAAATTTGCTTACAAATTATTTAATAAATTTGCTGAAAAAATTTTTTAAAATTAAATAATTTAGAAATTTGAATTCATTAATAAATGAAATGCGCAAAGAAATTAACGACAAAAATGATTGCATTAATCAGTTGGAAAAAGCTAAAAGTGATGCGCAATGGTACCTTGGCGAACATCAACATTGGCTACAAGATGCTAATACCAGGTGATAATTAAATTTTACAATTTAATAATTTTAAATTATTTAAAATAAAAAAAATTTTTGTTGAAATTAATAATTTTAAATTATTTAAAACAAAAAAACATTTTTTTGTTGCAATTAATAATTTTAAATTATTTATAACAATGAATGTTTTAAAAATGTAAAAGAAGAAAAAAGATTAATAGAAAAATTTCTTTGAAAAATTTAAATTCATTTTTTTGAAAAATTTAAATTCTTCATTTTTTTTTCAAAAATCAAATTATAATAATATAAGCGATATTACAGAATTGAAATTCTTGAAAATGAGAAATTGGATGGATGGCAAAAAGTTTGTCAATTAGAGGAAATGCTTAATGAAGCTAGAAGATGCTATTGTTATACCTAATGATAATAACAGGTATTATTATCATTTAAATTAATTTAAATTTTTTTTTTTTAAAAAATGATGCAAATATTTAAAAAAAAATTTTTTTTTTCATATTTTATTTGATTACTTTTTTAAAATTTATATATATGCTTTAACAAGAAGTAATAATTTATTCAAATTTTAATATAAATAAAAATTTTTGTTAAAAAAAAAAATAATAAATTTTATTTTTTTATTATTTTAAGTGAAATAAAAGCAAAATTGGAAGAAATGCAACAAAATATAAAAGATAAAATTTATGAATGTGAGAAATTAAACGAGCAAAATAATGAAATGAAAAATAGTATCGAAGAATACAAAGTTTGTTTGGAAAATGCTACAAAAAGGTTTGTTTATTTGTTTATTTATTTATTTGTTTGTTTGTTTGTTTATTTATTCGTTTTTTTGTTTGTTTATTTATTTATTTGTTTGTTTATTTATTTGCTTGTTTATTTGTTTGTTTGATCATTTGTTTATTTTATTCTTTTTTGCTTATTTGTTTTTGCTTTTTGCCCTTTTTTTTGATTAATTATTTATTAATTAAAATTATGTCAGAAAATTATATTATTAATTAAAATTATAAATTATTTCTGAAATTATGTAAATTTTCAATTAAAGCTAAGATTTTCTTTGATCTGAATTTTATTGTTTTGTTTTGTTTTCTTTTTTTTTACGACAATAATAATAGATTTGTATTTGAAATGATTGACTTAAATTTTACTTCAACTTTTACTTTTTAGTAAATTTTTTTTCTTCTTGATCATTTCAAATTTTTATAAAAATTAATTCATAGGTTTGAATTAAGTTATTTACTTTTTCTATGAGCAGTAAAAGTTTTTGTTAGTATTATTTTGCAAAGAATTAAATTTATTTTTTAACTTTTTTATTTTTTTTTTAAAAAAAATTAGAGATAACAATAAAAGCTAATGAAAATAGCAAAATTAAATTGTTATTAATATAATTTTATTTTATTAATTGATAAATTTAAATTACTAAATTAGTCAGTTAAGTAATATTTGACTTTGAAATTAATATTTGACTTTAAAATTGAGAATTATTTTATGCTTTTATTTAAAATACTGAAAGTAAAATGTATTTTAATAGTGTGATTAATGGTATTAATTCATGCTATTAATAAGTAATTAAATTAAAATAAATTTAAATAAAAAAAAAAACATCAAAGTAAGAGGGAAAGGAGAACAGAGAGAGAGAGAGAGAGAGAGAGAGAGGGAATGTGTGATTGGAATAAAATTTAATATTATTAAAATTTTATTTTTAAGAATTACTTATCTGGAAGATGAAGAAATGGAAAAAGATCGCTTAATCTTAGCTATTAGTAAAGAATTAGTTGAATTAAAAGAAGTACGAATTGATACTTTCCAACAGGTAAAACTTTTTTTTTTTAACTTTTAATTTTGTTTATTTTAATTTTTTTTTGTTAAATAAATTTTTCTTTTTTAATTTACAAATTTCAGAAATAATTTATTAATTTTAATTTTTTATTTTACTAATTAACAGTTACATGAAAAAATCGACAGTTTGGAATATTGTTTGAATAAAAAAGAACAGCAAATAATGGAAAATGAATCAACCAATGATGAAAATGAGTATAAGTTAGTTTTTTCAAATTCAAAATTTTTTCACTTTAAAATTTATTAAAATTTAAAAAATGAAAATTATCTGAGAAACAAAAAAAAAAGGAAAAAATTTTAAAATAAACAAAAATGAATGAAGCAAAAAAGTTTGTTTCCTTGATTAATTAAAAAATTTAATTATTTAATTTTTGTTTAACTTAATTAGTTTATTTTTTATAAATGATAAGTTAATTAATCATAAAGTTAAAATAAGCTGCAAAGTTTTTTTTTCTCCGATGAAGCAGCTAAAATTGTTCATGCTATGCTAAAATGACTTGCTTTTTCACTCAAAGTTAAAGTAATTACTTATAAATTACCATTATAATTTTTAACTTTACTCAAAATTAATTAATATTTTCTTCGAAATCATTTTTTTATTACTGATATGATATTTATTACTTTATAATATATACCAATTAATTAACGCTCTATAAAATTACTTTGTTATTGATATGATAATTATTACTTTATAATTTACTTAAATTAATTAGTACTCCTCGAAATTACTTTATAACTGATATGATATATATTACTTTTTAATTTACTCAAATTAATTAATGCTCTACAAAATTACTTTGTTATTAATATGATAATTACTACTTTATAATTTACTTAAATTAATTAACGCTCTACAAAATTAATTTATCACTGATATAATAATTATTACTTTATAATTTACTCCAATTAATTAACGCTCTATAAAATTACTTTATCACTGATATGATAATTATTACTTTTTAATTTACTCAAATTAATTAATGCTCTACAAAATTACTTTGTTATTAATATGGTAATTATTACTTTATAATTTACTTAAATTAATTAACGCTCTACAAAATTACTTTGTTATTAATATGATAATTATTACTTTATAATTTACTTAAATTAATTAACGCTCTACAAAATTAATTTATCACTCATATAATAATTATTACTAAAATTTAAAACAACACAATAATGATTAAGATTTTTTTTAATAAAATGACCATATTTTCATGATTATATTGCAAATTGCTTTATTGAAAACTTTACTCATAATTTTTATTACTTAAAATTCGAAATTATGCCAACTTCATCAAATATATAAGTAAATAATTGAAATGAATAAAAGTAAAATTAATTTCAAATTTTCTTATTTGATATATTAATTTTGTATTAAAAGAATAAACTTTTAATTTTTTTTTTATGCTTAAAATTGGAAAAGTATAAAGTTTAAGAAAAAAAAAACATCAAAATGCTTTTTCTTTTTTTTTTTTTTCTTGAAATTTCTCAATTTTATTTTAATTTATAGAAAAGCTAAATGGTCATTACGAGATTTGGATGAGAATATTTTCGATGTGGACAATGGTCATTTCAATGATTCAACAGAATCGAATAAAAATGCTAATTGGACATTTGCTGAATATAAGCATTGGTTACAGAATTTGAAAAAAAAGTAAATTAGCAAAAAAAAAAAGAATTAAAATTAATTTATAAATTTGAATTGATAATAAAATTTACTTACTATTAAATTAATTTATTTTTATTAATTAATCATATTAACAAAATATTAAACTGCAAAACAGCAAACGAATTTTTTTTTTAAAAAAAAGATGTAAATATCAATGAATAAATATTAAATTCAAAATTTAATTACTTAATTTAAATACTTAAATTAATTTATATATATTAATTACAGAGTGAAAGAACTTGAAAATGCTTTACAACGAATTACAAATGAGAAAGATGCAGCAATAGAAAAACTTCATGAATTTGAACTAAATGAAGTAATTAAAAAATATATTTTAATTTTTAAAAAAATTTTTTAATTTTTTTTTTTAAAAAGAAGAAAAAAATGTTTACTATTTATTTTAATTAATTTAATTTCTTTTTTTTTTAAGCCTAATATGGATGAATTAAAGAAAGGAATATGGGAAAAAGAACAACAAATTATACAATTGGAAAAAGATTTCAATGAGAAACAAAATGAACTTAAGTTCATCATTAATATTCAAATTTTATTTTTTCCATTTTTTTTTTTTTGAAAATTTAAATTATTTAAAAAAAAAGAAAATTTATTATTTCAGTTTATTTGGTTTAAAAATTGAGAATTTAATGGATGAATTAAATGATGCAAAGGAAAATTCAAAAAATTATGAGCAAAAATGGATGGATACAGAATGGATTTTAGGTGAACATCGCCAATGGCTTACAGATGCTAAAAAAAAGTTGAAATTTTTAAATTTTAGTTTTAATTTTTCTCTTTCTCTTTTTTTTTTTAATTTAACAATTAATTTGCAAAATTGTTAACATTTTTTAATTGGCTAAGTGAAAAAAAGGAAGGAAGAATTAAATCAATGCAAAATTTAATATTTCAAAAAGAATTTAAATTTTAATTTTTTAATTATTGAATTAATTATTGTTCATTCACATACTGGTAATTAAAATGATTAAATTTATTTAAAAAATGTATGAATTAATTAATTAAAAATGAAATGCTAAAATCAAATTTTATTTAAAAAAATATGAATTGATTGATCAATCAATCAATCAATCAATCGAAAATTCAAAACATTTTCATAAAAAATATTAGTGGAAGAAAAGAAAACAAAAAAAGAGGGCAAATGACATTTGTTATATGTAATTGAATTAATTAATAATTAATTTTTTATTTTTAATATTTTTATTTCAGAATTGATGAACTTGAAAATAAATTACAAATAATTGGTGAAGAAAATAGTAGTTTACGAGAAGAAATTGAAAAATTAAATTATAATATTAGGTATTTCTTCAAAAAAAATTTTTTTTTTTTGCAATTATTTTTATGTATTTTTTTTTTTGTTGTAAACTTTTTCATTTCGTTTTAAAATTAATTTCAAAATTAAAATTTAAATTCATTAATTTTTATTTTTGATTAATGAAAAAGACAATAAAAATTTTGCATTATTTAAAAACATTTTTTTTTTTTAAATGAATGAAACGAAACAATAAAAGATTAATTAAATTTAGCACAAAAGCTTTTTTTATTATTAATTAATAAATTATGATAGATTGTTTATGTTGTGTATTAATTAACAGTAATTAATTAATTAATTAATTAATTAGCATTGATTTAGAATATCGACGGAAGCTATTGAAGGTTTGCAAAAGGAAATTGATGATAAAAATGTGACACTTAATGATATTTCAAAAGAGAAAATTGATTTTGAATGGAATTTCAATGAAAAACAACAACAATTAAAGGATGCTAATAATAGGTTCATTCATTGTCAATTGTCACCTAAAAAAAAGAAAGCGCAATTGTCTCATTTAGTTAAATGACTGATTTATTGTCAATTTTTTTAAAACTAATTTAATCTGAAGTCAATTAGTAAATTTGTCAATTAAAGGATGCTAATAATAGATTCATTCATTGTCAATTGTCACCTAAAAAAAAAATAAAGCGCAATTGTCTCATTTAGTTAAATGACTGATTTATTGTCAATTTTTTTTAGACTAATTTAATCTGAAATAATTTAGTAATTTTGTCAATTTAAGATGATAATAATAGGTTCATTCATTGTCAGTTGTCACCTAAAAAAAAAAAAAAATAAAGCGCAATTGTCTCATTTAGTTAAATGACTGATTTATTGTCAATTTTTTTAAACTAATTTAATCTGAAATAATTTAGTAATTTTGTCAATTTAAGACGCCAATAATAGGTTTATTCATTGTCAATTGTCACCTAAAAAAAAAGAGAGAGAGAGAGAATGGCAATTATAATATAAAAGCGCAATTGTCAGCGCAATTATTTCATTTAGTTAAATGATTGATTTATTGTAAAATTTTTTTAGATTAATTTAATCTGAAATCAATTAGTAATTTTATCAATTAAAATGTTTAAAATAATTAAATTTGTATTATTTGAATTGATATTTTTTATAAATTATTATTTGTAATTATGAAAAGTTTGTAAAGAGTTTTGTTTGCATTTAAATTTGATTTTTGAAATTTATAAATGCTTTTCATAAATGAGAAAAAATTATTTTGACCCTTTTTTGGATTAATTCTTAAAATATTTCAGTTAAATAAATTCTATTAATGAATTTAATTATTGAATTATAGGTTTAAGCAAAAAAAAAAAAAAACATTTATCAATGACAAAATTGAATTAAATAAAAAGAAATTATTCCTTTATGAAAATAAAATAATACGAATAAATTAATCATATATCTTTTACTGTTGATAATTTCAAATTTGAAAAAAATAATTTTGTCAAATTTGTTTTTTAAAAAAAAAAAAAATAAATTAACTAAATTTTTTAGAATCGATGAATTAGAATCTATTTTAACTGAAAAGAATCATTTGATCGATGAATTGAAGAAATGCAATGAGGAACGTTATATTTCATTTACAATTTTCTAATTTCAATATTAATTAATTTCGTATTTTACAATAAAATTATAATAAAATATTAAAAAATTTGCAAAATTTAAACTTTCCTTAAATAATTGACAAAATTTTAGTTAAATTTAAAATTATTTTTTGTGTAAAAAATTTAAAAAAATAAAACCAAAAATGTGAAAAAAAAAGTTTTTGTTCACATTTCTACGCAAAAAAAAATTTTGCACCTTTAAATTTTCAAATTATATTTTTAAATTTTTGATTTTCAAATATTTTTACAGGAAGAAATGATAGTTTTGCATGAAAAACTTCAAAATGCTGAGAAAGCATTTTCTAATGCATCATGTGAAGATAATAAGCTAAAGTAAATTATTTTAATTTTTTAATTTTTAAATTTTCTTTTTTTTTGTCTTCTTTTATGTAATTTAATTTATGCAAAATTATTGTATTCATATGTATATTTAAAATTATTATGTAATTTTAAAAACTTTTTCTGTAATTTAAATTGTATTTTAAAAGGATATAAATGATTAAATTAAAATTATTTATATTACGATTAACATTTCTAATATAATTTTGAATTAATAATAATAAATCAAATAGTGAAAATAATAATTTTATTTATTAATTCTAATTTAAGTGAGCTTAGCTCAGTGGTCGATTGTTTACAAAATGAATGATTAAATTAAAATTAATTATATTACGATTAACATTTCTAATATAATTTTGAATTAATAATAATAAATCAAATAGTTAAAATAATAATAATAATAATAATAATTTCATTTATTAATTCTAATTTAAGTGAGCTTAGCTCAGTGGTTGATTGTTTACAAAATGAATTAAATGGCAAAAATGAATTTATCAAAAGTTTAACTAAAGAATGCAATGATAAGGAATGGAGTTTAGGTGAATATCGTCAATGGCTTCATGACTCTAAAAATAGGTAACTTTTTTATATTAATTAATTTAATTTCATTTAATTCATTTCCATATAATTCTTAATTTTATTTTTTCAATCTGTATGTATCATTTTAAAATGCAATTAAACAGTTGTAGATAAAAATTTTGTTGTTTGATTTGTTGTAATGATAATCATTTGATATCTAATGATATGATAAGCTAATTCCACTAAATACTCCATGCACTGATTCAACTATCATTCTTCCATATCACTTAGTAGTGATAATCATCTGATATCTAATGATATGATAAGCTAATTCCACTAAATACTCCATGCACTGATTCAACTATCATTCTTCCATATCACTTAGTAGTGATAATCATCTGATATCTAATGATATGATAAGCTAATTCCACTAAATACTCCATGCACTGATTCAGTTATCACTTCTCTATATCACTTCGCAAGAAATGATAACATCTGTTAAGAAAACGATTAAACAGTTATAGATAAAATTTATTGATTTGTTGTAGTGATAGTGATATGATAAGTTAATTACACTAAATACTCCATGCACTGATTCAAGTATTATTCCTCCATATCACTCAGTAGTGATAATCATTTGATATCTAATGATATGATAAGTTAATTACTCCATGCACTGATTCAACTATCATTCCTCCATATCACTTGGTAGTGATAATCATTCGATATCTAATGATATGATAAGTTAATTACTCCATGCACTGATTCAACTATCATTCCTCCATATCACTTGGTAGTGATAATCATTCGATATCTAATGATATGATAAGTTAATTACTCCATGCACTGATTCAACTATCATTCTTCTATATCACTTGGTAGTGATAATCATTTGATATCACTTAACAAGAAATGATAATATCTGTTAAAGTTTCAATTTTGACTCTAATAACCAGAGCATATGACTATTTCAACTTTTATTTTTCATTGTTAATTATTTCAAAATTTAATTGCAACTAGCAAAAACAAAAGAAAAAAAAATTTTTTGATCCTATAAAGTTTCAAGAAAATCCATAATACTAATCAATAATTGTGATATAGAGTTAACTGATAAGATTTAGAAATTGCTAATTTGAAATTTTTGATATGTAAATTGACCTATAGCAATTTTAATAGATGTTATAATTAATTAATTAATTAATTAATCAGTTCATTTATTGATCTTTAATATTTTATCAATATTCGAACTGTTTATTAATTACTATTAGCAATTTGTTATTACTTTGCTTTTTTTTGCAAAATTTTTAAATTTAAAAAAAAAAAATTTAAAAAAAAAAGTTAAAAATGAGAAAGAAAGTCTTTTCCGTATATTTTAATGCATATAATAAAATAATTTTCTTTACATTTTTTTTTTCTTTCTTTTATTTAAAACCAAGTAAATATGCAATTCAGGGTACAAGATCTCGAGAAAGAATTATGTAAAAGTAATGACTATGTCGAGAAATTAAAACAAGAAATCGAGAATCGAAATACTGATACTAGGTAATGTATTAATTGTAAAATACAACAAAAAAAAAGAAAAGAAAGTAATTTTCAAAATTTCTAAACCATTCAAAAGATCTATTTAATTTAAGCAAAAAGCAAAAAAGTAAAATTTCAAATTTATTTCAAAATTATTTATTTACATTTAAAAATTCTGAATAATTCTAAATCATATTTTATATTTAAAAATTATAAAAAAAAAATAAAATAAAATAAAATTCTTAGCAATTATCTTGCAACAATTAATGGTTTAAATGATGAATTTTGCGCCAAAAATGTTTGCATTGCAAATCTCGAAAAAGCAAAAAATGATTTGGAATTAAGCCTTAGCGAACATCAACAATGGCTTCAAAATGCTAATGAAAGGTTTATCACTTAATTTAATCAATTATTTATCAAAATTAAACTATTTTATCATTTCGCTTCTTTTTTTCTATTTAGTACACTTTTCTTAATTAATTAATTAATTTGCTTTTTTCTATTTAATACACTTTTCTTAATTAATTAATTAATTTGCTTTTTTCTATTTAATACACTTTTCTTAATTAATTAATTAATTTGCTTTTTTCTATTTAATACACTTTTCTTAATTAATTAATTAATTTGCTTTTTTCTATTTAATACACCTTTCTTAATTAATTAACTAATTAATTAATGAAACATAATGGTTGTTTATTTTTTAGAATTGTTCAACTTGAAGAATGTAAAATAGCAAACGATGCGATGAATAAAGAATTGCACAATGAAATGGACAAATTATCGAAAATGGTAGTTCTCGATCTTAAAGCAGCGCTTGAGGCGGTAAAAGAAGAAGCGCAACAGGTAAAAATAGAAGTAAATCATTTAAATGATTTTAAATTATTTCAATCTTAAATTAATTAAAATTTCATTCCTACAATAAATACTTTTTAATTTGACTTTTGAAAGAATGAATAAATGGTGAATGGATAAATTATTAGTTTTAATGATTAATTAAAGTTATATTTGATTATTAATTAATTATGCATTTTAAGTTAAGATAGATTATTAAATAAACGATTTTAAATTATTTCAATCTTAAATTAATTAAAATTTCATTCCTACAATAAATACTTTTTAATTTGACTTTTGAAATAATAAATAGACTAAGATAGATTATAAAATTAAAGTAACAATTTGAAATTTCTCAGATTAGTTCCATAAATAATTTCTTCTTTTGATGTGCTAATTATTCTAATTTGTTAATTTGACAGGTATCAATTGAATCAATTGATGAATTAATGGTTAAACTTCAGAACACTGAACAAGCATTAGCTGAACATCCGAAATTGGATGATCTAATGTTAGTCATTTTGCTCTAATTATTATTAATTATTAAATTAAATATTTGTTAAATAAAATTTTCTAATTAAAAAAATTTTTTTTATGTTTGAAATTAAATTATTTTTATTTTATATCAAATAGATAGCTTAGATTAATAAATTAATTAAGCAATTTTATTAATTAAATAATTTGATATTAACATAGAATAACATTTAATGGTTAAAATATACAAAACTTTTCTACTCTTTACTTATGCATAAATTTTTCTTAAAAAAATATTTATCTCATTGTTTCACATAATATTTGCATAAATTTTATCACTTCTCCTTTATCATTTATCAGCACTGATAAATTTATATTATTTATTTATTTCTGAGGGCGAATGAAATTTTGCGACAGATTTTCCATAACAAAAATTTATGCATTGATAAAATCTTGTGTAACTTTCTAATCACTTATCAGAAATGATAAGCTATTATCATTTATGTGTTTTAGTTATCTGAAGAATGAAAATGAAAATTTACGAGAACTGCTGAATGATAAGAATGCATGCATTGATAATCTTGTGCAACAGAACAATGATCGAGAATGGAGTCTCGGTGAGCATCGACAATGGCTTCGAGATTGCAATGATAGGTAAAAATATCACTTCTAAATGTTTGCTTTTATTTTTTTAATTGTAATTTCTAATTTTTAAAATTATAAAAGAGTAATTGGGTAAATAATTTCTGATTAAATAATTATTTTGAGTGATAATAGAAATGGTATTGAACATATGCAATTTTTGATTAAATTATTAAATATTTCACATTAATCTATTAATATATTTAACATTGAATTAAAATTAATTTTGATAATTTCAATGATTATTAAAGAGCTAATTGGTTAGATGGTATTGTGCTAGCAAAGAATGCAGAAATTGATGAATTAAGATGCGAAAATAATCGTCTTAAAATTGATTTAACTAAAATATCACAAAATGATGATATTAAGTAAGTTTATTTTTTTTTCTAATTTATTTTAAACATTTATTTTAATCTTTCTAATCTTTTTTCTTTCTAAATTTTTCATTTTAAAATTATTTTTACGATAATATATAGATTAATTTGTTTTTAAAATTTAAACTAGGAATAGTTTTTTTTTGGTTTTAATTAATCTTTCACATTGTTAGTTTAGTTAAAATAAATATGCTTATTTTTATCAATTTTAAATTTCTCATATTTCAAAACGATATTTAATAATTGTTAGCTTCGCGTCTCATTAGAAATCTTTCTGTTGCTTCTGTTTTCATCGATTGATTAATAATTGAAATTATTGATAAGTGATAACAACAATTTTAATTTTAATTTTATAAATAAAAAAGAAAAAAAAATGAAAATGAAATATTTTGATTTATTGAAAGTAAATAAAAATTTAAAATGGCCTTGAAAAAGAAAATTTAAAATTTGAGCAAAACAAACTTTTTATCAGTTATCAATTTTTTTCGTTATCAGTTTATTTTATAGCAAATTAAATGCTACAATAGAAGATTTGCACAATGAAATTAATAATAAGAATAATCATATCGATGAAATTATAAAACAAAGAAATGAAACAGAATGGAAACTTGGAGAGCACTGTCAAATGCTTGAGGATGCTAATAATAGGTTAAATTTAAAATTAAATTTTTAGAAATTGAAAATGATTTTTGAAGATTTATTTTCTCTTTCTTAATAAATATATTATTTATATAATTAATTTCTAATTTGCAGTTCTGAAATGAGCAAAAATCGGATGTATTCTAAGTAAAAAAATTAAAATTAGCCAATCAATTTTTCAAGTATAATAACTAACAAATTGCAGAGCTAATGAGTTAGCTGAAAAATTAGCTGAAAAGGAGAAAATTTTAAATTCATTCCTTGAAAAGCAACCAGAAATAGTAGAAGAAAAATGTGATAAAATCAATGCAATACCAATTGAAGCAGAATTAATAAACACTGATAAGAACGAATCGGAATCAATGGAAATTGATAAAAGCAAGGTATATCATATCATTAATTCATTTCTTGGAGATATTGTGATAAATTAAATGATAATAAATTAAAAATTTCTTGCATCAATAGAATTAAAATGTAATATGTTGAAGTGATTAATTTAAATTTTTACAAACTTTTGCAGTTATTTGAAAAAATATTTGAATTAGAGAAGAAATTGCTCGAAGCAGAGAAAGTAGCAGCAGAAGTATGTGACAATAATCATTTAAAAATGTAAGCTTTATTAATTAATCGTGTAATCTTTCGAATTGCTAAGCTTTAATAAAGATATAATTTAAATTAAAATTATACCTTTTAAAATTTTGTGCAATTTCTTTATTTACCTCTAAATGTGTCACAAAAAATACATTTTAAATTGATTTTAAATAGCGAATTTAATTGATTTAAATTTTTTTTTTCAAATGTAAATGAAATAAATGAAATCACAATAGCACTTTCAATTGAATTATTAACTAAATCAAATTTAATCTCATGGTAGACCCTTTTTATTAATTTGTGTAGTATCACATTTCGGAATTCATTAATTATTTAAAGATTATGATATTTGACATAAATACAGTAAGTGACATTTTTTCCACTCAAATACTGTAATGTGCAATACTTTAATATTACTCAAGTACAATATGTGAAGTATGCACATGATTATAAAGTTATTTTAAAATTAATTAATTTGATAATTCAATCAAACTTAATAAAATACGAATTTAATTTCTTTAACTTTTTAAAATTTACATCATAAAATTAAGTTTTTTTAAATTTCCAGCAAGTAACATTTTTCTCACTCAAATACTGCAATATGTAATACTGTAACATATCTCAGATACTGTAACGTATTACAGTATGCGCAGTACGTGCATGTTTCCATATCTTTATTATAAAATTTATTAAATTGATAATCAATCAAACTTAATAAAATAAACTTTAAATTTCTTTATTTTTAAATCACATACTAAAATTAAGTTTTTTTTAATTTCCAGTAAGTAACATTTTTTATCACTCAAATACTGTAATATGTAATACTGTAACATAGCTTAGATACTGTAACATAGCTTAGATACTGTAACGTATTACAGTATGCAAAGCACGCGCATGTTTTCATTATATCCTTATTTTAAAATTAATTAAATTGATAATTCAATCAGACTTACTAAAATAGGAGATTAAATTTCTTTAATTTTTTGAACCACATACTAAAATTAAGTTTTCTAAATATTCAGCAAGTAACATTTTTTACCACTCAAATACTGTAACATGAAATACTGTAACATAACTCAGATACTGTAAGTATTACAGTATGCAAAGCATACACATCTTTATGAATTTTAAAAATTCTTACGTAGCTTTTCCAATTTCTCAATCGCACTGTCATTAAATATCTTTCATTTTGAGAAAAAAAATTGTAGAACAATTAGTGATCATGAAGCAACAATAGCTAAATTAAAAGAAGATCTGAATCAAAAAGACGTTGATCTCGTACGTGTATGTAAGGAACGATGTGACGCTGAATGGTTTCTTGGTGAAGAGCGGCAACGTACAAAGGATGCTAATGAACGGTAATTAGCATAAATTTAAATTTAAGACAGAAAAAAGTAGCCAGATGAAAAATGAAAAAAAATTTCACTTCTGCTTTATTGTAAGATGGTTTAATTTAAATTTAAAGAGATTTCATTTTTGATAAATTTGAAAAGTATGAGCTAATATATTTTATTTTATTATTCAATTAATTTATCTCAATTAAAATTTTTTATTTCTTTAATTCACATCTTGCATCAATCAAATTCGGAAATATTTTTTCTAATATCAAAATCACAATTTTTCATTTTTTTTTTTTTGTATTTTTTAAAAAAAAAATTTATGTTTTTGAGTTCATTCAATTTATTTGCGTGCTCACTTTATGCTTCATTACAGAATTGCATTACTTGAAGCGGAATTGACGTGCGTGAAAGCAAAACACGATGATATAGTTCACAATTTGAGTAATGAAGTATTCGAATTAAATGAAAAGTTTGTCTCTTTTTTTTCATTCCATTTCACTCCAAAAAAAAAAATTGCATATAGTTAAATTAATTTGATTTTTATTAATTAGCTAAATAATTAATTATGTTTTATTTACATTATGCATTTATATTTTACTTTGACATTCTACTACTTACATAATTATTTTATATGCATTTAATTTACTAGTAAAAAATAATGATTCTAGCTATGATAAAGTGGTTATAGCTAAGTAAGGAAAAGTAATGATTGATTAATTCAAATATGAAAAGAAATTTTAATTAATTCAAATATGAAAAGAAATTTTAATTAATTGAAATGTGAAAAGAAATTTTAATTAATTGAAATGTGAAACGATTAATATGTATTTATTTTGGTTTGAGGTATTAACTTATGATTACAGTATGCGTTAAAAGTTAGAGTTTGAAAATTAATTTACAATTTATAAAATAAAAATATAAAATAATAAATAAAAAAATCTAACATAAGAATAATATGATTTTATTATAATTATTTCGTTTTATTCTTTTCACTATAAAATTCTCATCGAGTTTTCTTCTCTTTTTTTTTTCATTTTTTTTCTTTTAACATTTTGCAATTGTAATCAAATCATTGCTAAAATATATATTCCGAATTTAATTTCCTTTTAATTGTAACATATATTAAAGAAAATTTTCTATGATTCAAATGTAAAAAAAAAAAGTTTTTTTAAAAAAAAAAAATTTTGATTAAATTAAATTAATTGTTAGAAGTTTAAAAATTTCTAAATTAAATTTCATTATTTCATTTTTGTTTATGATTTTACATGAAAACGAATACTACAATATAATTGATATAATTGATAAAATAATCATTTTTAATATTTCAATTATCGTTTTTTTTTTTTTTTACAGAAATAAGAAATTGAACGAAACTTTAATAAAAACTAAAATTGTAATAAGAAATTTATCGAAAGATTCACAAACGACAATGCTTCTTTTGGAACAAACTAAACAAATGGAAAATTTAGAGGAAGAATTTAAGCAGGTTGAATTCTCTTTTCTTTTCAATCATTTCAAAAAAATTTTTTCAATTTTACTTTTATCAAATGATTGAATGAAAATTTTTGAGTATATTTTTGAATGAAAATTAGAGCTGAAATTAATTTTTTGTACACAAAAACAAATTGGATAAAAAATTAGATTAAAATTGCATAAATTAAAAATTTATATTTTAGTTATGTAAAAAATATGCACAATTAAGTGCTCTACTTGTAACCATTCAAGAATATTTGGAAAAAATTGAACCGGAAGTTTCAGAAGTGGTGAATTTCCGGTAAATTTTATTTTAATTTTTACAATTATAACATTAAAAATTTTTGCACAATTTATCCTACAATTAATATATGTTTTAAATTAGAAATTAAACATTAATTTTCTAATTTTACTATTTAATTTTGAAACGTTTATTAATTATTGAATTTAATTTATTATTGTTTCAACAAAAAGCAATTGAAGCTTTTGATATTTTATAAAGTAATATTCAATCGTTTCTAAAATTATATTCAAATCATTTTTGATTGTTTCAAAAATTTAAAAAATTTAAGGAAAATAATCGAAAATTTGAATAACGAATTTCATCAACAAAAATTGGAAAATGAAAATTTATTGAAACAAAAAAATGATATCGAATTGCAACTTAGCGAGCATTGTGAACGGCTTCGCAATGCTAATAATCGGTTAACAATTTTTTTTTTTTTTGAAATAAATAATTATTTTATAAATTTCTCAAAAAGCTTTTTTGGAAAAAAAAACTTTTCAATGAATTTATCAAAAATGGGAAATAATATTATAATAAATTTTTGCTCATTGAAAGAAAAAATTGTTTTTTTTTTATTCCATAATTTTTTTTTTTTATTTTTATTCTTTTTTTTTTATAATTTGAATTAAATTTTTTAATGAAATATAAAATGATAAAATACAAATTGAAATTTTTCTTTTTTAGGATAAGCATTTTAGAGGATGAATTAACACATTTAAAAGAGGTCAATGGGAGAACAATTGAAATTTTACGTATGGAAAATGAAGCGCTAAATCAAAAGTTTAACTTTTTTCTTAATTTCAAAATCATTTTATCAATAATTATTGTAAAATTAAAATTTATAAGTGAAAAGTTTAAATTAAATTATTTTCAAAACTTTTTAAATAAACTAAACATATGATTTGTTTCTAATTAATAAAAGTAATTTTTGCATATATATTTTGTATGTAATATTTATGCTATTATGAGAGTAATTATTACGAATAATTATTTTTTATTATTTAAAATATTGAATGGTAATAAATTATTCAAAATATTATTTAATATATAAAATTAATACTAATTGGAACATATGTTTGATATTTAACTGAAATATATAATATATTAATATGAAATTGAAATTACTTAAACTTAGAATATGCATTTTTTTATTTGTTGAAATATGAAAACTAATTGAAATATGAAATTAAAATTACTTAAACTTAAAATATGTAATTTTTTATTTATTTAAATATGAAATTTTGTTTATTGAAATATGAAAATTAATTGAAATATATAATATATTGATATGAAATAATTGAAATATGAAACTAAAATTACTTAAACTTAAAATATGTATTTATTTATTTATTTAAATATGAAATTTTATTTATTGAAATGTGAAAATTAATTGAAATATGAAATTAAAATTACTTAAACTTAAAATATGTATTTTTTTATTTATTTAAATATGAAATTTTATTTATTGAAATGAAATAATTGAAATATGAAATTGAAATTACTTAAACCTAAGACATGTATATTTTTTACTTAAAAATATGTGTTATTACATCTAAAAAGTATTATCTAAAAAATTGCATATTTTTGATTTTTTTTGAAAAATAACATGCAATTGATATACAGCAGTGATTTGAATAATTCTAAATGTAATTAAATTAAATCAATACTTAAAACATATTTAATTAATTTTAATCTTTTCCAGGAATATACAATTAAAAGAAAATGTAAAACATTTACAAGATGAAATTCAAAATGCTCTAATAAATGGAAAAAAAGAAATTGAATTGGTAAAAAGAAATTCATTTTTCTTTTTAATTATTTTTCTTATTTAATTTCTATTTTTTGATTTAAGAATTTGATAAAAAATTTAATTTTTAATGTAAAATTTTATGTATTAATTTTAGCAAAATTATTGTGAATGCAAAGAAATTCCAACTTTAAATCGTATTGAAAGTATTGGTATTGATATCAGGTATTATTATATTTTTATTAAAATAATAAAAATAATACAATAATGTTTTTTAAATTTTTTTTTTTAAATTTTCTTTTTATAACTTTTTAAAAATACTTTTTAATATTATCGTAATAAATTTAATAAATTGTTTTTTTTTTTTTTGGTATATTAAATTGAATTTTTGATATTTTTACTTTTTATTTTTTTTTAAAATTTAATTTATTTGTTTTTTTTTTTGATATATTAAATTGAATTTTTGATATTTTTACTTTTTATTTTTTTTTTAAATTTAATTTATTTGTTTTTTTTTTTTTGTAAAATAAAGAATTATTAATGTTTCTCAAAATTCTTTATTAGCAGATATAAAGAATTTATTAAAGTTAATGATTAATTTAACTTTTTCAGTGTATATTTCCATTTTTGCTTTTTGTCTTTTTTCAATTAACAAATTTTAAAATGTAAAATTATACATTAATAATTTTAGTATTATTATTATTACTATTATTATTGCTATTATTACTATTATTGCAGGTATAAAAAATTTATTAAAGTTAGTTAAACTTTAAACTAGATTAATTAAACTTTTTCAATGTATATTTCAGTTTTTGCTTTTTGTCTTTTTTTAATTAACAAATTTTAAAATGTAAAATTATACATTAACAATTTTAGTATTATTATTACCATTATTATTATTATTATTGTTATTATTATTATTATTACCACTTCTATTATTATTATTACTATTATTATTATTATTATATTTTAGCTCAATAAATTGTTCATTGGAAAATCTATGCAAAGAATTAAATTATCAAAAAATTATTGACACACTGATGGAGCAACGTAGTAAAACTGAACAATTATTAAATGAAAGAAAAGAATCAATTACGGATGCATGCAATGAGTTAGTTTAATTAAAATGTTAAATTAAAATTATTTTTAATTTTAATAAAATTTGCTTTACTTAAAAATTAGCTAAAATTATTTTTAATTTTAATAAAATTTTGCTTTACTTAAAAATTAGCAGAAATGCTTAGCAAATAAAACTTTGGACATTTGCGCTTTTCATTTTAAACAATCTCTCAAACAAGCATTTGTTACATTTTATCACTGATAAAGAAGAAATTAACAAATTTAAATTCTTTCATAATTTTAAAATTAGTCAATTAAAAAATGATATGTTAATTAACATATCATAGTGCAAATTTTTGAGTATTATTTTCTTAAATTATCAAATATTATTTCAGCAAAAAAAAAAATCTTTTAAATTTGATAAAATTTAAAGAAATTACAAAAAAAAAAGCTTGTCTAATGAATTTTAAAAATTTTGACAAAATTAAAAAAAAAAATTACAACAAAGTTATTTATTTTTTTTTTTTTTTCAGAATTATCGAATTAGAAAAACAAATTTTAGAAAATACATTGGAAGAACAATTGGAAACGATCGAAATGTAAAATTTTTCTTTTTCTTTTCACTTTTTTTTTTTATTAATATAATTTTTTTAATTTTGTAATTATTTTTTTTTTTTTGCAAATATTTCAATAAACTAAATATTTCTAAAAATTCCAAGAATTTTAACTTTTTTTTCTCTATTACTTTGCTTTTTTTGCTTTGTTTTGTTTTCGTTTTGCTTTTTTATTTTTAAAATAATTTTCTTTTTTTACGATATACTTCAAAAGTACAATAAAAGATTTATTTATTGTTTTTTCTTCTTTTTTTTTAAAAAAAAATTTTTTTTATTCATTGGAAATATTATCTTTCCTAATTAAATAATCTAAAAATATATTTAAAATTGATTGATCAGAAATCAGAAAATGAATAGTTTAAATTATTATTTGCATTATTTATTTATTTGTATCAATCAATCAATTAATTCAAACATTTCTATTACAAATTAAGTTTCATTAATAAGTTATTTTATAAAATAACATAATATTATAATCAAAATTATACAAATTTGAATTGAATTTTATTAAAATTATTTATTTTATAATATAAAATACAAAAAAAATGCATAAATAATTAATGATAATAATAATAAAAATAATAAAAAATTGGAAATGAATATGAAATGTTTAATAAAAACATTTCATTTGTTATTAACCTAAAATTTTCTTTAATAACCGAATTTTATTTTCAACATTCTGTTGCAATTTAAAATTTAAAATAACAAAACTTAAAAATAACATTGAACTTAAAATAGCAAAATGAAATAATCATTTCAATCAAAATTGATAGTTAAATTGTAAAGTAATTGTGATAGAAATTAATACAAACTAAAAATTTAACTTAAAAAATTTATCACTTTTTTAAAAAACGACTAGAAAGTAGTGTAATCCTAAATTTTCTTTTTTTTTTTAGTGTTAAAGAATTTGATAATGCTGATAATGGTGATAAGAAAGCTGAAATTGAAAATTTGATGAGATTAAAATCTGAATTGGAACAAAACCTGAAAGAAGCCAATGTCAGGTAATATCATTTTAATTAATTGTCATATGCTTATTTAAAAATTAACTTAGGTAACTAACTGTCATATGCTTATTTAAAAATTAGTTTAAGTAAGATTTTTAGGTAATATTAAGTTTAAGTAAGATTAAAATTATATAACTAAGTATATATTTGATCGTCATTACTTTAATTTTGAATTTTAAATGAGTAATTTTGTTAAATTTCATTAATGAATAATCCTTATCACAAATTTTATGTCACCAATTCATAAATTGTCAATTTGTATTAATTTTTTTTTTTTTTTTTGAAATTCTTTCTTTTTTTTTATTGATTTCAAATTTAAATTCATGATATTTGATACAGCAATAGCAATTATTTGCTCTTTAACTGTCATTTCACCATTATTTTTTCTTTTTTTCTAATTTTAATAACAATCTTATAATAATACTAATAAATTAATTAAAATTTTTGATTGGAAATTAAAAATCATTCAATTTTTGATTAGAAATTAAAAAATCACTCAATTAATTTATTAGCTTTAGTTTGATTAAGTAATTAAAAATGAATTTTGCTGATTGTGATAATAATAATAATAATACGATTAAAATTAATCTTTGCATATTAAATTATTTTCAAGTAATATTTATTTTTTGAATATTTTAAAATATTCAGAAAAATAATGTAAGCAAATTTTGAAATTTTATTTTTACTTTTTTTTTTAAAGTTATAAATAAAATCTCTTTTTTTTTAAAGTATTATTTTCAAAGACTAAAGATAAAACATTTAATTTTATTTTATTTCAGTAAGTTTAGACTAATCACTGTGATATGTGATAATACTGATAACAGTATGTTATATTAAATCATTGCACTGATAAATTTCTGATAGTGTAAAAAGGCATGTGATCGTCTAAACAAAAATGACGTCTCATTTTCTTTTTTAAATTTTTTAACTTAAAAAAAAAAGTTAATGATTGATAAGTTTTGTTAAAAAGAAAATTCTATTTCGTATATGTTTTTTGATTTTTGAACATTAATTAATTTAAAATCAACGTCATTTTATTGTGTACTTACTTTTAAAAAATGATGTAATTGTAGCTAATTTGAGCAAAAAAAATGATTCAATTTTTCTAAAGCTAATTAATTTTAACTTTTTCAAAAAAAAAAAATAATTTAAATTAAATTTAACTTTTTCAAAGAAAATTACTACAAATTTAACTAGTTAATTTAACTTTTTTCCAAAAAAAAGTAAATAATGAAGGAATTATAAAAATTCAACATTTATATGATTGTATCATTTGAATTTTGTAAGAAAATTATTAACATAATAAAATGTTTACAATAGAGTAACTTTTATAAATAAATGAATTAAATTCAAATGATTGAATTAATTTATGGTAAAGTAATTAATAAACATAAATAATAGAGTAATTAAAATTAAAGTTGATTTAAAAATATTTTTTTTTCTGTATTTTTGTTAAATTTTATTTATTTCATCTTTTGAATGAAAGAAATTGGACTAAAAATAAGTATCCATTAGATTTAGAAAATATTTCGAATTATTTTAAAATTATTTTGATTCTAACTTATCACAAAGTATTCCTCTGATTCTAACTTATCACAAAGTACTCCTCTCATTATAACTTATCACAAAGTATTCCTCTGATTCTAACTTATCACAAAGTACTCCTCTGATTCTAACTTATCACAAAGTATTCCTCTGATTCTAACTTATCACAAAGTATTCCTCTGATTCTAACTTATCACAAAGTATTCCTCTGATTCTAACTCAAAGTAATTCCATTCCATTACCGTATTTATCATCCAGTATCATTTCAAATTATCACTTTCAACTCATTTGCATTTTATTACTCATTGTTACAATAACATTCTCATCATGCAACCTGCAGATTACCTGCACTCATCAAATAATTTGCACTTTACCTGTTATCACCAAGTATTTTGCACTTTACCTGTTTTCAATGATTAATCTGCAAAATCTATAATTTAGCATTTCGATCATAGTAACCTGCACTTTTTACCTGTTCCTATGGATGTAATCTTTAGTTTACCTGTTCTCATTAATTTATAATTTACCTGTTTTAATGTTGTGTTGTTTATTGTATGTCTGAAATGTAAATAAAAAAAAAAACAAACTAATTGATGTAAATATCAAATGATTATCTCATTTTTTTTTTTTTTTGTAAAAATGAATCAATGATGTGAAATTAATTGTTAGTTCTTTAGTTAAATTTAAAAATGAACTTTTTTTTTTTAAAAAATCACGTGGCATTGTTGATTTTTGATTTTAAATTGATTCAATATATAAGCATTGAAATGAATCACTTTTATCTTTCAATTTTACACTAATCTTTAAAATTTTACTAATTGTACTTTTACTATTTACTTTTTATTTTCTACTCTTTTTCAAATTATTTATTTTTACTTTTTTCTTCTCTCTCTCTCTCTCTTGCATTTATCTGCTCATATAATAAAATTTGAATAAATTAATTGAGAAAATTAAAATCAGTATGAAATTTGATTGGTTTGATTGTTTTTGTATTGCTTAATTATTAGCAATTTAATTTATTTATTATAATTTATTTTATTTGTTCTTTATCTTTATTAAAAACAAAAAAAAAGTTTGCGAATATTTTTTTTTTTTGCTGAACATAAATAGTAATATTTGATTAGTAATACAATTAAATAGTAAGATTTAAGTATAAGTAAGAAATATTTTAAAAAATATAAAACTAAAACTAAAATTTAGTTAATAAACTAAAATAATTAATACTTGATAAAAATATTATCATGAATTTCTTCCTGAAAACAACCAAAAATATATTTGCCGGAATGATATGAATTTGATTTAAATAATTAATTATATTAAATAATAATTAAGATAAATTGATTTTATTGTATGGAACTCTTTTCCTTTTTTTTTTACTTAGACAATTTAAATTTGCTAATAAATATTAATGAAAGTCTAAAGCAGTAATTAATTTTGTTTATTCAATTACTTTTTTGTTAGCATATGATAAGTTAAATTTGCCAAAAAGATAATTAGTCTTATAAGGTGTAATTGTTGTTATGCTCCTAAAGTACTTTTTATTAGGTTTGTTTACTTTACTTCATGAGTAAGTTATAAGTAATCAAAAGATACTTTACTGCATGAATAAGTTACAAGTAATTAAAAGATGCTTTCTTAAGTTTGTTCACTTTACTTCATGAATAAATTATAAGTAATCAAAAGGCACTTTACTTCATGAATAGGTTATAAGTAATTAAAAGATGCTTTCTTAAGTTTGTTTACTTTACTTCATGAATAAATTATAAGTAATTAAAAGGTCCTTTACTTCATGAATAAGTAATCAAAAGGTACTTTAGTTCATGAATAAGTAATCAAAAGATACTTTACTTCATGAATAAGTTATAAGTAATCAAAAGATAATAACTGAATGCTTATTCACAAATAATCGATCCGTTATTCCGATTATCATATGATCGACTAATTTTGATTATGTCACATTTATGTGACATCTCTGACAATTATTATCTTTTATTTATTGTTTATTTTCTTTTTCTAACCATACACAATTATATTTTTATTTCATTTTATTAATCAAACTGTTTGAGCATTACGAATTACAGAAATCATCGCGCATATTTTAGAGGAGCGCAAATGTCGCAAATAATTATTTCAGAAACGAAGAGATGTCGGCATTGCTTGATAAAAAAGAACAAACAATTGATGCAATCATTAATGAAAAGAAAGCAATTGAAGTAGAACGTAATTGTTTACAACAACAAGTTGATAATCTAAAACAACAATGCCATAACCTTTCACCTTTTGCAACCAATATTTCTCATAAGGTAGCAGCTTTTTGAAAATATTGATTACGATACATTTTAATTCTTAAAATTTAAGAAATTATGATTAATTATGTCTCGAGAAATCATAATTAAATCTGTTTCGAGAAAAAAAGCAATGAATAATTTAGATAATTTAAATTTAATCAAAAAAATAAAATAAAATAATACAGTATGCCGCATTACTGTATTATTGTTCATTAATGCAACCGCAATACGGTATTCCTCCAAATACAAATTTTATTTCAAACAAATTTTTAGAAAATAATTTGGAATGATTTCAACTTGATTTGAAATGATTAAGGTAGCAGCTTTTTGAAAATATTGATTACGATACATTTTAATTCTTAAAATTTAAGAAATTATGATTAATTATGTCTCGAGAAATCATAATTAAATCTGTTTCGAGAAAAAAAAATGCAATGAATAATTTAGATAATTTAAATTTAATCAAAAAAAAATAAAATAAAATAATACAGTATGCCGCATTACTGTATTATTGTTCATTAATGCAACCGCAATACGGTATTCCTCCAAATACAAATTTTATTTCAAACAAATTTTTAGAAAATAATTTGGAATGATTTCAACTTGATTTGAAATGATTAAGGTAGCAGCTTTTTGAAAATATTGATTACGATACATTTTAATTCCTAAAATTTAAGAAATTATGATTAATTATGTCTCGAGAAATCATAATTAAATCTGTTTCGAGAAAAAAAAGCAATGAATAATTTAGATAATTTAAATTTAATCAAAAAAAAAATAAAATAAAATAATACAGTATGCCGCATTACTGTATTATTGTTCATTAATGCAACCGCAATACGGTATTCCTCCAAATACAAATTTTATTTCAAACAAATTTTTAGAAAATAATTTGGAATGATTTCAACTTGATTTGAAATGATTAAGGTAGCAGCTTTTTGAAAATATTGATTACGATACATTTTAATTCCTAAAATTTAAGAAATTATGATTAATTATGTCTCGAGAAATCATAATTAAATCTGTTTCGAGAAAAAAAAGCAATGAATAATTTAAAGATAATTTAAATTTAATCAAAAAAAAAATAAAATAAAATAATACAGTATGCCGCATTACTGTATTATTGTTCATTAATGCAACCGCAATACGGTATTCCTCCAAATACAAATTTTATTTCAAACAAATTTTTAGAAAATAATTTGGAATGATTTCAACTTGATTTGAAATGATTAAGGTAGCATCTTTTTGAAAATATTGATTACGATACATTTTAATTCCTAAAATTTAAGAAATTATGATTAATTATGTCTCGAGAAATCATAATTAAATTTGTTTCGAGAAAAAAAAGCAATGAATAATTTAGATAATTTAAATTTAATCAAATTAAAATAAAATAATACAGTATGCCGCATTACTGTATTACCGTTGATTGATGCAAGCGTAATACGGTATTCCTCCAAATACAATTTTTATTTCAAACAAATTTTTAGAAAATAATTTGAAATGATTTATTATTTTAAGTTGTTTACTCACAAATACATTCTAATAATATTTGATTACAATTAATTATTAATTTACTATTACAAATATGTCTATCTTATTGTTATTGTTCAAAAAAAGCCCAATAAATTTATATCTAAGAAATTGATTAAATCTAATAAATTTATAAATTATGGCTATTAATTATAAGTGACATTTTTATTTTTGAAATAATAACAATTAAATTATTGCTATCCTGAGAAATTATAATGAAATCTATTTCGACAAAAAGCTAAAGATAATTTAGAAAAAATTAAATTTAATTAAATTAAAATAATTATTTTGCATAGAATTTGTCAATATCTTCAATTATATTTTATTTAATTATTATTTTAACAATATTTTAAAGCTATTAATGATATCATTTTAAAATTGAAAAAAATTTTTTTTAGGGTGAAAATGAGACCGAATTAATGATTCGATTATGTGAAAAAGATGATCAATTGCAACAGTTTACCACTGAAATAGCTGAGAAAGTAGAAGAAATTACGTATGTATTTTAAATTTATTACTTTTTTTTTTAAATTTTTTTTGAAATTTTTTTTAAAAAATTTAATTAACTGGAACGAGTTGTTTGTTTTTATAAAATGATAAAAGAATGAAAGAGGAGAGAGAGAGAGAGAGGGAGGGAGGGAAGGAGAAGCATTTTGAAAAAAATTTCATTTGTTTATTTTAAAATTTTTGAATTTATTTAATTTACTGCTAAAAGTTTTAAGTTAATTTAGAAATAAAAGCAATATTTTCATTTATAATATTATTGAGGCAATTATTAAAATAATTTAAAATAAAAAAAAATTAAATTTCAGAAATTATTAAAATAATTTAAATTAAAATAAAAATTAAATTTCAGAAATTTGCATCAAGTAATCAAAGATTTAAGAGATGTAATCGGTGAAAAGAATCGAATAATTGATGATTTGAATAGGATAACAAGTGAGAAAGAATGGAATCTCGGAGAATATCGACAATGGCTTACTGATGCTAATAATAAGTATATAAATATTATTTTAATTATTTATTTTAATTACTTATTTTGAAATTCATAATTTTATTTTATAAAATTTTAATAAAACAACAACAAATAATCTGTAAATGGTTTGAAAAATGTTTACAGAAACAATAATTTTACATGAAAATTTCACAAATAATATAAAACAAATTCAAATTTAATTCCCATATTTAATTTTATTTAAAGTAAACATATTTTCTAAGTATATTTATCCTATTTTAATTACTTATTTTAAAATTCATAATTTTATTTTATAAAATTTCTATAAAATAACAACAAATAATCCGTAAATGGTTTGAAAAATGTTTACAGAAACAATAATTTTACATGAAAATTTCAGAAATAATATAAAACAAATTCAAATTTATTTCCCATATTTAATTTTATTTAAAGTAAACATATTTTCTAAGTATATTTATCCTATTTTAATTACTTATTTCAAATTCATAATTTTATTTTATAAAATAACAACAAGTAATCCATAAATGATTTCAAAAATGCTTAAATAACAATAATTTTACATGCAAATTTTACAAGTAATATAAAAAAGATTCAAATTTAATTCTTATATTTAATTTTATTTAAGTATTGTATTATCATTAATAAATTTTAGAATAGATATACTTGAAAGAGAATTAAGCGATGTTCGACATGGAGCAAAGTTAAATAAAATTGAACTTGACAAGCTGACCAGTGAAATAGATGAGAAAAATGCGAAAATTTCACAGCTTCATAATAAGTAATTCTTTATTTATTTCAATTAAATTTTATTTCCATATAAAACTTTTTTTTTTAAATCTCAATTTTAATTTAATAATTAAAAAGAAAAATTGAATTCTAATTTCTCTTTACAACATTATTTTACAAATGAATTATCAATTACTCAGTAATAATTTTATTTCCAATTTAGAATTGCTAAACTGGAATCAGATGCTATTAATGTTCAGTACGAGAAAGAATCACTACCAAATGAGGTATTTAAATTTCAAAATTTAATTTTTCAATTATTTTATATTATATTTTAAGTAATAAATTATTTATAAATTTTCATTACAAATTCAATTACTATTTTATTATTTTAGGATTTCTCATCAAAATTATCAGTATTGCATGAGAAACTTTCAAATATGGAAGAATATGTGCAATTTCAAGACGAAGAATTACGACGATTGAAAGAGGTAAAAATGATAATTTAATTTAAAAAAATTTAATTAAAAAAAATTAATTGAAAGAAAATGCTTGATGGTGATGCTAATAATAAAGATGAAGCTAGTAAAAAATTAAAATTTTTATCAAAAAATATTAAAGTAATAAAAGAAAAAATGAAATAAAAAAATATAATATTAAAGATTTAAAATATTTATATAATTTTCAATAAATATTAATTAAATTCTGAATAAAAAAGAATTAAAATAATAAGAAAATTTGTAATATAAATATGAGAAAAGTTTTATTTTTTTTTTGTATAATTTTTGAAATATTTTATAGCAAATATACAAATTGAAGGTATTAGGTACTTTCTCAGATAATATCGAGAAATTAGTTTCTAATATTTTATAATTTAATTATATAAAATTGCTATTATTTCTGTTTAATGTATTATTAACGATTTGAAACATTCTGTTTCATTTATAATTGTAAACATTTAAAGAATTAAATTTTTTTTTCTTTAAAAAAAAAGGTTTTATTTATTTACATTGCAAAATTTGTTTTTATTTTTTTAATTCGTTTCTTCAATATTTAATTAATACTTATTTATATCTATATATATATATATATATTAATACTTTATAATTCAATTTTATAACTTATTATTATTATTACTATTATGGATTTAAAATATTTTTTAAATGATAAATGATTTAATGATAAATGATAAATGATAGCAACTTTAAATTGAAAATGAAAAAAGTATTACTTAACTTTAGGAACACGCACAAACCTTAGCAAATCAACAAAATGACGTATCGCCAACAAGTACTGCCATTCGTATGTTAATTTAAATTTATTAATTTAATAAACAAAAAAAAAAAAGTTGTTTTTTTGAAACGATAAAAAAAAGTTGAAAATTATTAATTATTTTAAAAGAAATATTTATTTGAAATTATCACTTTGAAAGGAATTAATGAATATACTAAATTAATTATTTTTAATACTAAATTAATTAATTTGAAAAGTTGACATGAAAATTAATTTAGGAACAAAGCTAATTTGCATAAACACAGTAACAGTAATGGAAATTTAAGTTATTAACAAAATTCTTAATTTTATTTAATTAGATTTGAAATTTTTGAAAATGTTCAAAAATTATTAATAAGAAATTTGAATTAATCAAGTTGATATAATTTCTTATTTATTTGTTATTGTTTGTTTAGAAAAATATCTAAATAAGAATGCATTTTCATTTCAAATTTAATTTTTTGTTTCAAAATTGAAAATTGAAAACATTTAATTTTCGAAATTAAGTAAAGTAATTTTTTTTGATCAAAAAAAAAAGAAAGTTTTGCATTTTATCAAATTTAAATGATTATCATTGTTGGTTAGCAATTTCAAAAATTCTTCCACATTCACGTTTTAATTTTAGGCTATTATTTCAGGTTTTTTAATAATTAATTTCAGGCCATTATTTTAGAACACTTCCAAAGTATCTAAATTGCTTTTAGAATATAAATTTAACATTTTGTAATATTTCTATAAATGATTGAATTTTATTTAATTTTAAGAATCTCATGGAATTGGTGGTAATCAGATAATGTCGGAGGAATATAATGAATTATCATCGGAGTTAATTATTTTAAATCGTAAAAAATATGAATTAGAAGAAAAGGTAAATAATTGAAATTTATTTCAAATTTGAAAATGAAAAAAAAAAGTACTTTTTTGTTATTTTATCAAAAAAAAGAAATAAATGAAATAATAAATATTTATTAATCAATGATGCTGCAACATTTTCATAAATTTTAATTATTTCAATTTCATTTTTTTTAATAAATTAATTAATTAAATTAATATTAAATAAAACTCTATTCAATTATACTTAATTAAACTTAATGCTATATGAAATTATTAAAATATTTGGTATAGAACAAAAACTTTCACAAATTTGAAATTACATTTTAAAAAATAAAAAAGAAAAATACTTCTTTTACTTCTTTAAAATGGTTTTTTCTTCTTTTTTTTTCACACAAAAAAATTATGTTTAATATAAATTAAAAATTTTTTATTTAAATTAATAAAAATCTTTTTTTTATTATAAATAATTTTTTTTTAATTTAATATAAATTAATAATTTTTAAAAAAATTTTTTTTAAATTAAATTAATAATTGATTTATTTTAGGTGAAACGATTAGAAAATGAATTACAAAGTTCATATGAAAAGGTCAAAGGGCATGAAGATGAACAACGTCGAATAGGTGAAGAGATATGGCTTGCTAAGGAACGTGTTGCAAATCAGGAACGTGAATTGCAAGATTTACACGGACAGTGCACGTGGTTACGTGATGAAAATGCACGATTGCAAAGTGAATTAACTGACGCACGTAAAAAGGTAAAATTATTAAATAATTTTCATTAAATAATAATTGATTAAATGAATAGCAAATTTAATTTAAATAAAAAATTTAAATCAGATTTAAATTACAAAATTTTTGTTAATTTTTTTTTTCTTAAAATTTTTTAATTTTTCCTAATAATAATTTATTTTTATTTTTTAAAAAATTATCCTAATTTTTTGTTTTTTTATTTGACCTAAAATTGACAAATTTTTTTTTCCCTTTTTTTATTAATTATTTGATGCAAGTAAAAGTTAAATTTAAAAAAGATAGAAATTAAATTGTACTGAAGAAAAAAATTTTTTCATATTTAAATTAAAAATTTAAATTAGTATAAATTTTTAGCATACTGAAAATGGTGGTATTGATTGGTCGAAATTTGATGAAATGAAAAAAATTGAGGAAACATTGAGAGATGAAAAAAGTAAGGTGGAATGGCGATTAGGTGAAGTGACACAATATTGGAATGATGCAAAATGGAAGTATGACTTATTCAATAATTAAATAATTAATTAATTAATTAATTAGTTTACTTACAAGAATGAATAATTTGCTTCATTAATTTTATTAAATGCAAATTTTTCATTATTTAATTAATTATTATCAAAATTTTTACTAATTAAATCTGAAAATGATTTGCGAATTACTCAAAAAACAAAAATTAATTAAAAATTAAATTTTTAATTATTAAATTAATTTTTATTGTTTTGTATTAATCTAAAAAAAATTAATTTAATTTTATTAATTAAATCTAAAAATAATTTACAAATCATCCAAAAAAAAAAAAAAAATTTAAAAATTAATCAAAAATTAAATTCTTAATCATTAAATTAATTCTCATTGATTACATTTTGTAGTAATCTAAAAAAAAATTAATTTAATTTTTGTAATTAAAGTTTTTTAATAATTTTAATTTATATTTTATTTAGAATTGGTGAATTAGAAGCTGGTATGGCACATAAAGAATGGTTATTGGATCAAGCAAATCAAAAAATATTTGAGTTTGTTTTTTTTTTTGTTTTGTTTTCTGATCAATGTAATCAATTAAAATTGATTAAATTTTTTAATTAAATGATGATTAGATTTCAATTTAATTTTATAAAATTTACAATTTTATTTATTTATTATTTATTTATCTGATCAAATTTCAATTTAATTTAATAAAATTTGCAATTTTGTTTATTAATCTAATCGAATTTCAATTTATTTTTATAAAATTTACAATTTTATTTATTTATCTAATCAATTTGCAATTTAATTTTATAAAATTTACAACTTTATTTTTTTATTATTCATTTATTTAATCAAATTTCAATTTAATTTTATAAAAATCACAATTTTGTTTATAAATCTAATCAAATTTCAATTTAATTTTATAAAATTTACAATTTTATTTCTTTATTATTCATTTATCTAATCAAATTTCAATTTATTTTTATAAAATTTACTATTTTATTTCTTTATTATTTATTTATTTAATCAAATTTTATATAAATTATTTTGTTACACCAAAAAAAGAAAAAGCAAAAGCAAAAAATTTATTTTTTAATCTAATTTAAATTTATTTTTTAGTTTTTAAATTTAAAATTTATTTTTTAATTTAATTTATTTTTTTTATAGATTAGATCAAATGTATCGATTTCGTGATACCACAAAAAATTTCTTAGATGGTACATTTTTAATTAAAAAACAACCCAGCGGTGATCGATACAAATGGCGCTTAGCAATGTGGTAAAATTATAATTTATTATTTTTCATTTTCATTTTTTTTTTAATTTCAATTTTCTGTTTAATTAAAAAATTTAATTTTTAGGAATGAAAGTTCACCAAATGATTTGAAAGATTATCGTCGAATATGGTTTGAAATTAGAGCACCAACAGCTAAAATTGTTTTATTAAGTGTATGTCTTTTTTTTAAAAAAATTAAATTAAATTAAATTAATTTTAAATTATTTCAAAAATAATAAAAGTTTTATTTTATTTAATATAAAAGTAAATAATTGAAATTGAAAATATTTTTAGGCAAGTTTTGTTAGTTGGGAATGTTTTCTTCTATGTCAACAATTGGACAATGATTGTAATCGATTTGGTGTTTGGATTGATATACCACCTGGACGATATGAATTTTTGTTTATTGTTGATGGACAATGGACAATAAGTGATAACTATGAAATTTGTTGGAATGAGCATGGAACACATAATAATTGGCGAAATGTTGATTAAAATAAAAATTGAAAATTTTTAAAAAAAATTTTCTTGAAAAGAAATGAAAATCAATTTAAAAATTAAAAATTCAATCATTTAATTTCAAATTTTATTCTTTTCTTTAAAAAAAAAAAAAATGAAAATTTTGATTTGAAAAAAAAAATAAATTTGAAAAAGAAATGAAATAAAAAATGATTTTAAAATAAAAAATTCAATTATTTAATTGAAGAAAAAATAAAAAAAAAAAAAGGGAAAAGACAAAGAGAAAAGTATTTCTTTCCTCTCTCTCCCTCTCTCTCTCTCTCTCTCTTGAAACATTTCTTTGCAAACTTTTTTCTCTTTCTCTTTCTCTTTCTCCTTTATAAATGATATTTGCTTCATTTTTTTTTCTTTTTTTCACTGTATTTGTCAAAACAAAAAGAAAAAAAAGAATTTTGGTGACAATTTCTTTTTTTGGTGACAATTTCTCTTTTTTTTTTTTGCTAGAATGTGAATAAGTGAAATTAATGATTTATGATTTTTTATGAATGGTATAATTAATAATTAAATTAATTATTATTTTATATTATTTTGCATAAATTTAGCTAAATGAGAATTGCATTGATATTTGATAAGGGAAATGATAATGATAATTGATTATGATTGATAATGAATGATAATTTATGATGATAACAAGTGATAAGTCTATTTTTTATTTAAAAAAAAGCAGAAATTTGTCATTACTTTAATGATAATTGGTAGAAATGAGTAAATGAATTAATTAGTTATCATTATTTAGACAAAATTTTATGATAATATGATAATTGATAATAAATGATAATTAATGATGATAACAAGTGATAAGCCTATTTTATTTAAAAAAAGCAGAAATTTATCACTACTTGAATGATAATTGATAGAAATGAATGAGTGAATTAATTAGTTATTATTAATTAAACAAAATTTTATGATAATATGATAATTGATAACAAATGATAATTAATGATGATAACAAGTGATAAGTCTATTTTTTATTTAAAAAAAGCAGAAATTTATCATTACTTTAATGATAATTGATAGAAATGGAAAGTGAATTAATTAGTTATCATTATTTAGACAAAATTTTATGATAATATGATAATTGATAATAAATGATAATTAATGATGATAACAAGTGATAAGCCTATTTTATTTAAAAAAAGCAGAAATTTATCATTACTTGAATGATAATTGATAGAAATGAATGAGTGAATTAATTAGGTATTATTAATTAAACAAAATTTTATGATAATATGATAATTGATAACAAATGATAATTAATGATGATAACAAGTGATAAGTCTATTTTTTATTTAAAAAAAGCAGAAATTTATCATTACTTTAATGATAATTGATAGAAATGGAAAGTGAATTAATTAGTTATCATTATTTAGACAAAATTTTATGATAATATGATAATTGATAATAAATGATAATTAATGATGATAACAAGTGATAAGCCTATTTCTTATTTAAAAAAGCAGAAATTTGTAATTATTTCAATGATAATTGATAGAAATGAATGAGTGAATTAATTAGTTATTATTAATTAAACAAAATTTTATGATAATATGATAATTGATAACAAGTGACAAGTCTATTTCTTACTTAAAAAAAGCAGAAATTTATCATTACTTTAATGATAATTGGTAGAAATGAGTAAATGAATTAATTAGTTATCATTATTTAGACAAAATTTTATGATGATATAATAATTGATAACAGATGATAATTTATGATGATAAATTTATGATGACAAATGATAATTTATGATGATAACAAGTGATAAGCCTATTTTATTTAAAAAAAGCAGAAATTTATCATTATTTCAATGATAATTGATAGAAATGAATAAGTGAATTAATTACGTATTATTAATTAAACAAAATTTTATGATAATATGATAATTGATAATAAGTGATAATTAATGATGATAACAAGTGATAAGCCTATTTTATTTTAAAAAAGCAGGGATTTACCATTACTGTAATGATAATTGATAGAAATGAATAAGTGAATTAATTAATTAGTCATTACTAATTAAACAAAGTTTTATCACACATTAAAATGATACAAATGATAAAGCGGAAAATATTCAAAAAATGAAACAAAAAAAAAAAAAAAAATTTAACAAAAAAAAAAGCAAGCAAATGTTATAATTGTTTCCGCTTAAATTTAAAAGTAAATTAATTTCTTAAAATTTAAAAAAATAATTAATCCTTCAAAATGCTTCATTTTAATCGATATAACAAATTAATGAAATCAAAAAAGTTGTTAATATTTTTATTTTTATTTTAAATTATTTCACATTTTATACTATTATCAAACAAAGACGAAATTTAAACTAAAAAATTTCTCTGATAATTATTAATTGAAAAATAGAATTTTTTAACAAAAATTTTTATTTCCTTTTATCATTTTTTTCCATTCATTGCAATAATTTTTTTTTTTTTCAATCAAAAAATATTTTCAAATAAAGTTTTGAAAAAATTAAAAAAAAAATTTTTTTTGAGAAATTAAATAATCAATTAATTTAAGAAATTAAACAAAAGTTAAAAGTAATAATTGTCTGAACTTCTTAGCTTCTTTTTTTTTGAGTTTAATTTAATAATAAATTAAATATTGTATTTAAATTTAAATTTAAAAATTGAAATTTTATTAGAATGCATACTAAAATTACTGATAAACAAAATGCAATTATGTGAGTTTACAATAGTTAATAAATAAAAATAAAAAAACAAAATTATATTTCTAATTAAACTTTAAAATTGATTTGACAAAAAAAAAAGTATAAATTATAAATTAATGAAAGAGATAGAAAAGAATAATTAAAAGTAACAATTCAATATTATATAATATTTTCATTGATCCATTTGTTTTCTCGTTTGTTGTTGTCGAAATTGCAACTAAATTAATGAAATATTAATTTAAATATAATTTAAAAGAGAGAGAGAGAGAGAGGGGAGAGAGAGAGAGAAGTTTGATATTATAAAATAAAATGTGTAAATTTTAATTTAATTAATATGCTATAGTTATAATTTACTCTATCATATGTAAAATTAAATTTTAAAAAATGAAAATTAAGAATATATCATGATCTTTCATTTATGAGCTATTAATTTTTAAATGATACTTTATTATTTTATTTTAATATTTCAAAAAAAAAAAAAAATGAGAAGAAAATTTCAACTAACCCATCGTAGTTTCAATTGAAGTTTTAGACGATGCTATAATCATATGAAATTATGTTTGGTATTTAAGAAAGGAGAGAAAATGAATTAATTTTTATGATTATCAAGTAATCATGATTCAAAGTTATCAAGTAATCATGATTCAGAGTTATGAATTAATCATGATTCAAAGTTATCAAGTAATCATGATTCAGAGTTATGAATTAATCATGATTCAAAGTTATCAAGTAATCATGATTTAAAGTTACCAAGTAATCATGATTTAAAGTTATCAAGTAATCATGGTTCAAAGTTATCAAGTATTCATAATTCAAAGTTATCAAGTAATCATGATTCAGAGTTATGAATTAATCATGACTCAAACCTATCAAGTAATCATAATTCAAAGTTATCAAGTAACCATGATTCAGAATTATGAATTAATCATGACTCAAACTTATCAAGTAATCATGATTTAAAGTTATCAAGTAATCATGAATTAAAGTTATCAAATTATCATGATTCAAAGTTATGAAGTAATCATGACTCAAACTTATCAAGTAATCATGATTCAAAGTTATGGAGTAATCATGACTCAAACTCATCAAGTAATCATGATTCAAAGTTATGGAGTAATCATGACTCAAACTTATCAAGTAATCATGATTCAAAGTTATGGAGTAATCATGACTCAAACTTATCAAGTAATCATGATTCAAAGTTATGGAGTAATCATGACTCAAAGTTATGAAGTAATCATGACTCAAACTTATCAGGTAATCATGATTCAGAGTTATCAAGTAATTATAATTCAAAGTTATCAAATAATCATAATTCAAAGTTATCAAGTAATCATGATTAAAAGTTATCAAGTAATCATGATTTAAAATTATCAAGTAATCATGGTTCAAAGTTATCAAGCAATCATGACTCAAAGTTATGAAGTAATCATGACTCAAACTTATCAGGTAATCATGATTCAGAGTTATCAAGTAATTATAATTCAAAGTTATCAAATAATCATAATTCAAAGTTATCAAGTAATCATGATTAAAAGTTATCAAGTAATCATGATTTAAAATTATCAAGTAATCATGGTTCAAAGTTATCAAGCAATCATGACTCAAAGTTATGAAGTAATCATGACTCAAACTTATCAGGTAATCATGATTCAGAGTTATCAAGTAATTATAATTCAAAGTTATCAAGTAATCATAATTCAAAGTTATCAAGTAATCATGATTAAAAGTTATCAAGTAATCATGATTTAAAGTTATCAAGTAATCATGGTTCAAACTTATCAAGCAATCATGATTCAAAATTATGAAGCAATCATGATTCAGAGTTATGAATTAATCATGGCTCAAACCTATCAAGTAATCATGATTTAAAGTTACCGAGTAATCATGGTTCAAAGTTATCAAGTAATCATAATTCAAAGTTATCAAGTAATCATAATTCAAAGTAATCAAGTAATCATAATTCAAAGTTATCAAGTAATCATGATTGAAAGTTATCAAGTAATCATGATTTAAAGTTATCAAGTAATCATGGTTCAAAGTTATCAAGCAATCATGACTCAAACTTATTAAGTAATCGTGATCCAAAATTATCAAGTAATTATAATTTAAGCTTATCAAGTAATCATGATTCAAAATTATGAAACAATCATGATTCAAAGCTATGAAGTAATCATGAATTGAAATTATCAAAGTATTGCTTATAACTTACTTATTATTTCATTTGAAATTGCAAACAAATTTTTTATTAACCTATTTATAGTCATTGATAATACTAAACGAGAGTACAAATTACATTTTTTTTAAGTAATACTTTTTTAATTTTTAAATGATATATTATCATTTTTCAATTATCAAATTTGAATGATAACATTAATTAAGTGAAAATTTAATTAATTTAAAATAATCAAACATAATTTTTGTTTACTCATAAGTTTTCTAATAATTTAATTAATTAATTAATTAATTCTTACTTGGTATTTCGGTGGTTATTCTTGGTCGTATAGTTGTTTTAACTTCTGGCAAATCTTTTGATGTTTGCACTAAAACAAACAAACAAACAAACAAAAAATAAAAACAAAATTATATTTTAGTATTAATAAAAGATTATCAATAAATGAACTGTATAAAAGTGTATGAATTGAAATATTAATCATTTGTGATAATTAAAATTTTATTTTAGAAATGAAATACTAATTTTGTCTTTTTTGTTTTTTAAAATAAAATTATTTCAAATTCATTGTTTATTATCACAAAAATGATAACTAGTATATTGTATAGGTGATAATATCTCTTATCACAAGCAGTAAGTAATACATACTATTATAGGCAGTGATAAAACCGTATGCAGCATTATCTTTTTGGCCAATCACAGTGATAACATATGAACCGCTTGAAGTGATAACATAAAAACCACTTGCTAGTGATAAGGTAGTATAGTAGAATGTTTGATGATAAAATGACATTGGTGACCAATTCCAAATAATTTCAATTGGAATTTTTTTACCAATAGTTGTGGTAGATGTTGCATCATAATCACCTATGATCTGATAAAAAAAAAAAAAAGAAAAAAGAAATTAAATTACTAAAAAAATAAAATAAAATCAGAATTTAATAAACATTTTAATTTATTTGCTTCAAATTATCAATTTGAATTATTTTAATTCTATTTAAAAGTTTTTTTTTTAGTATTATTAAATTTTTGATTTATTTATTTATTTTTTTTTACTAATAATATTTTCTTATCATTACTAATTTCTTTTTCCTTTTGATATATTATAATTTTAAAAGTAAAATTAATGCATTTTTTTTTAAAAAAAGAACTAATTAAAATTGTATATTAAAAATTAAAATTAAAAAAAATAAAATTTAATTTTTAAAATTTACTGTAACAATATTTTCATCAGTTGGTACAAAAAAAGTTGTTAAACCAGTAACAAATTGTGATAATGAAATATCCAAATTAAGAAATGAACCATCAATTAAATAACTATCGTAGCCACCGTATCGTAGTATTTGTAACATTGCAGAACTTGAAAAAAATTTGGAATAAATTTGTTGAAATTTAATTGATAATATTTAAATTCAATTTCGAATTGAATTTAAATCTAAATTAATTGTTTGAATTGATACGATTTATAAGTTTTTATTGTTGTAATATTGTGAAAGTTCAAAAAATTTGGAATAAATTTGTTAAAATTTAATTGATAATATTTAAATTCAATTTTAAATTGAATTTAAATCTAAATTAATTGTTTTAATTGATACAATTTACGTATTTTTATTGTTGTAAGCATTGCAAAAATTGAAAAAATTTGGAATAAATTTGTTAAAATTTAATTGATAATATTTAAATTCAATTTCGAATTGAATTTAAATCTAAATTAATTGTTTGAATTGATACGATTTAGAAGTTTTTATTGTTGTAATATTGCAGAACTTGAAAAAAATTTGGAATAAATTTGTTAAAATTTAATTGATAATATTTAAATTCAATTTTAAATTGAATTTAAATCTAAATTAATTGTTTTAATTGATACAATTTACGTATTTTTATGTTGTAAGCATTGCAAAAATTGAAAAATTTGGAATAAATTTGTTAAAATTTAATTGATAATATTTAAATTCAATTTTGAATTGAATTTAAATCTAAATTAATTGTTTGAATTGATACGATTTAGAAGTTTTTATTGTTGTAATATTGTGGAACTTGAAAATATTTGGAATAAATTTGTTAAAATTTAATTAATAACATTTAAATTCAATTTTGAATTGAATTTAAATCTAAATTAATTGTTTGAATTGATACGATTTGTAAGTTTTTATTGTTGTAAACATTGCAAAACTTGAAAAAATTTGCAATAAATTTGTTAAAATTTAACTGATAATATTTAAATTCAATTTTAAACCGAATTTAAATCTAAATTAATTGTTTGAACTGATACTATTTATAATATTTTATTGTCATAACATTAAAGAACTTGAAAAAAAATATCAAAATTTTTAATTAATCATTTTTTTAGCAACAAATCTATGAAATTTAATATAAAAGATAAAAAAAAAAATTTAATTTTTAAAAAAATTTAAAGATAACATGTAAATTCAATTTTAAATGTGTAATTTAAATTAGATCTAAATTTGAATAAATTGTCTGAAATTGATACGATTTATAACATTTTTATTGTTCAATGTACTAGCAAAATTTTTAATCAATTATCTTTTTAGAAATAAATCTGTAAAATTTAATTGATAAAATTTAAATTCAAATCTAAATCTAAATTAATTGTTTTGAATTTGAATACAAACCAAAATTTTTTATTGCTCAATTTATCATTAAAATTTTTTCAAATTTTTATCATTGTTTTACTCTTACCTGGAATTAATGCCAACATTTAAATTGTATTCCTCAAATTTCACTTCATTGTATGAATCAATTAATGGATAACATTTATCATTTCCCATTTCATCGAATACAGTAAACTTTGAATTGCATAATAAATTATCAGTGTTAACAGTTGTTATCAGTAGCTCCTTCATATCATATAACATCGAAACATGATAATCGTTTACGTTGTAACAATCGAAAATTATTTTATTAGATTAATTCATATACATGTATATCAGTTCTGATAATTTACATTAAATTATTTCTATTAGATATATCAATTCTGATAATGATAATAAATTTAGTTAAATTCGATTTGATAAATATTTGAATATGTGATAAGCTTTTTTTTAGTATATGAAAATATTTTAATCATTTTAAAGTTATGCTAAAAGATATCTAATATGTATCTAAAACTAGTAATAAAAATTATTTCTATTAAGTTAAATTATATATATGAATATCAATTCTGATAATGATAATAATTTTAGTTAAATTCGATTTGATAAATATTTGAATATGTGATAAGCTTTTTTTAGCATATGAAAATATTTTAATCATTTTAAAGTTGTGCTAAAAGATATTTAAAACTTGTAATAAAAATTATTTTTATTAGGTTAAAATAAATTCTGATTAATAATAATTAAATTAAATTTGAGAATTATTTTAATTTAGTGATAAAATAAAATCTCGAATTCCCAATCTCATTAATAAATGAAAACTTTTTAATTATTTATAAAATTTGTTAAAAACCTGTGAAAAAGAGTGGTGTTGGCATATAAATACCAAAATCATTTTTAGTATTATCATCTGATGTGATTGGCAATTTTGTTACTGCAACAATAACTGCAAATGCACTGTTTGCACTTGCAGTTAATGCTAAATTGCCTGTTGTTTGCAGCACCAATAAATTACCATTTGCAAGCTAAAAAAAAATTAATTGTAATAAGTAAATTTTTAATTAATATTAATTGTAATAAGTAAATTTTTAATTAATATTAATTGTAATAGGTAAATTTTTAACTAACATTGATTGTAATAGGTAATTTTTAATTAATATTTATTGCAATAGGTAAATTTTTAATTAATATTTCAATAAAACAAAATATTTTATATTGCAAATTAATTGTTTATTTTCTTCCATACCATAGTAATAATAATATATTCAATTATTTGTTCTACAACCCTACGATTATTTATTATTGTTTACTGTTCATGAGCAATCATAAGCTTATTATTTATTGTTTACAATTTGCTTACGATTACTTATGATCACATGTGATTGCTTATGATGCAATCAATCAATGAGGATGATCTCACGATTGTTTACACCTAGGATTGCTTATGATTGTTTGCAATTACTTAAAATTGCTTACAACTACTCATGACTTTGCCCATGATTACTTACGATTGTTTACAATCAGAATTACTTATGATTGCTTATGATTTTGGGTATGATGTGATCGATGAAGACGATCTTATGATTGTCTATAATTACGATTACTTACCACTTTAGTTATGATTACTTACGATTGCTTATGATTACTTATGATTGCTTATGATTACTTATGATTGCTTATGATTACTTATGATTGCTTACGATTACTTATGATTGTCTATAATTACGACTACTTACCACTTTAGTTATGATTACTTACGATTGCTTACGATTACTTACGATTGCTTATGATTACTTACGATTGCTTATGATTACTTATGATTGCTTACTTATGATTGTCTATAATTACGACTACTTACCACTTTAGTTACGATTACTTACGATTGCTTATGATTACTTATGATTGCTTGCGATTTTGCTTACAATTCTGCTTATGATCTGATCGATCTTATGATTATTTACGATGTAATCAATTGGGTCAAAGTTTACTTTTGGTGTAAATGAATTAGAAAATGGTTGTTTATTAACTTCTCCAACCACAGATATTTCCATATTGTTTGATTGTGGCAAGAAATATACCATTGTAATGCCATCTTCAGCAGGTGGTGGCGCAGAAAATGCATATTTACCTGTTATCATCGATAATGGTAATACTATAATTAAAATTAATTATTAATTTCGTATGTTTATTTTATTTATTTATTAATTTTTTTGAATTAACTAAAATTTCCAAATTGTAAATTTTTTAAAAAAAAGAAAAAAGTTGAAATTAAAGGAAATAAAAAAAAAGAAATTTCAACTTGAATCATACAGTTTACATTTTTATAAAAAATATTTTGCTGTAACATATGAGAAGTAAATGTGACAATTAGTATGTGACACTAACCAAGAAAACTGTCACCAGCATCAGTAAGGTACCAATGTGACAAAACAGTAATAGGTAATTGTAATGAATTAATGTATATTCTGCTATCTGTACATTCCAAAAAATTTGCAAAAGTTGTACTTTTACAAGTATTTATAGATGAATCATTAAAATAAACCTAAAATAAATACATTTGCGCATTTTCTTGAAATAAACCTAAAATACATTTGCGCATTTTCTTGAAATAAACCTAAAAAACATTTGCGCATTTTCTTGAAATAAACCTAAAATACATTTGCGCATTTTCTTGAAATAAACCTAAAAAACATTTGCGCATTTTCTTGAAATAAACCTAAAAAACATTTGCGCATTTTCTTGAAATAAACCTAAAATACATTTGCGCATTTTCTTGAAATAAACCTAAAAAATACATTTGCGCATTTTCTTGACATATTTCTTTTTTTTTGCTAACCTAAAATAATTATAAATAATGAAAAAAAAAATTTTTTTTTTTCGCAATAATTTAATTTAAATAAATATATGAAATAGAAAGTGAAATTTTTTCATATTAATAAGATAATAATTAGATAAAAATTAACATTTTCATAGAATAACATTTAATTCATTTTTTTTTGAAAAAAAAAACTTTTTTTAATTCATTTTAAAATTAATTTTAACTAAATGTTTAAGTTTAAATTAAAAGAAAACGAAAAGAAAAAAAAATAAACTTACTTCAGCATAATTCATTGCATCAATATTTACAGTAATTATTTCACTATCATCCAAAAAATCATTTGCATTTTTAACATTTTCAATTTGAACTGTTACTTCCTTACTATTTGGATTCATTAAGGTAACACTGATTGTTGGATTTATATTTTTATTTCCATTATTACTCGGAAAAATGATCATAAAATGATAACCAAATGTTGCTGTGATTGTTGATGATTGAACATATAATTGATGATATGTTATCATTGCTATAAAATATTTTTAATAAATTTTTTTTTTTAAAACTAATAAAAAATCAAAAAAAAAAAAAATGTTTAATTTAAAATTCAAATATTTTATAATTTTTAAAAAATGTTAATTGTTAGTTTATTTTTTTTGTTAATTTTACATTAATATATTTTATTTTAAATGAAATAATTATTATTTTTTTTTAATGATGTAATTAATTAACTTACCTAAAATAAAAATAATTAAATGTTTAATTTAAAATTCAAATATTTTATAATTTTTAAAAAATGTTAATTGTTATTTTATTTTTTTTTGTTAATTTTACATTAATATAATTTATTTTAAATGAAATAATTATTATTATTTTTTTTTTAATGATGTAATTAATTAACTTACCTAAAATAAAAATAATTTCATACCACATTTTATAAATTTCAAATAGGTTTATATGATAGGATGAAATTTTTGAATATGAAATGATAATGTTTGAATGATGATTAAGTGAAGAGAGATGAGGAAAGAAAAAAGAAATTTTTTGTTTTCTACAAAAGTTCCTTATCAAATGATTAACAAATAATTTTGATCGCTTATCATTTTTATCATTTTTAATCATTCTTACTTAAAAGTACTTTGTCTGATTTGTTTGCATATACGGTAATAGTTCAAATGTATATATTACTGATAAGAATTTCGATTTTATTATTAATTAATTTTTTTTTTTTTACCTGTTTATTTCTATATTATACTTTTTCTTTTTTCTTATTATTGCTACTATTATTATTATTATTATTATTATTATTATTATTATTATTATTATTATTATTATTATTATTATTATTATAATTATAATCATTATAATTATTATTATTATTATTACTATTATTACTGTTATTATTATTATAATTATTATTATTATTATTATTACTACTATATTATCGTTATTATTGTTATTGTAATTATAATTATAATTATTATTATTATTGTTATTGTTATTGTTATTATAATTATTATAATTATTATTATTACTATTATTATTATTAATATTATTATCATTACTGTTATTATTGCTATTACTATCATTATTAGTATTATTATTAATATTATTATTGTTATCATTATTATTATTATTATAATTATTGTTATTATTATTAATATTATTATTACTATTGTTATTATAATTATAATTATTATAGTTATTATTATTACTATTATTATTATTAATATTATTATCATTACTGTCATTATTATTATTATTAATATTATTATTATTATCATTATTATTATTTATCCATTCATGATAAAATTATTCAAATGATAAAATTATTTTCGGTAGCAAAAAAAAAAAAAAAAAGGATAAAACTTATTTTTTTCATTCTTTTAATTATATTTAACTAACTGATTAATCTAATAATATAATGGGCACAAATCAATTCAAAATATTATATAAATTATTTTTCTTACATTTAATATTTTTTTTTCTCTGTAATTAATTACTTGTTTAATACTTCTTTTCTCTACAGTTAAATTATCAATTTATTTCTGTACTTTGCTTTTTGGTAATAAGAACAGACAATATATCATTTTCAATTTTAAAACATATTTTAAAAAAATTTATCAGACAGTAATATCATTTTCCAATTTTGCAAACTTAATAAAAAATTTGAAATAAAAAATGATAATAGCAAAGAGATTTTGGAAAATAAATCGCATTCAAAATATATTTGTAATTTAACTATTGCAAAATTCAAAAATATATTTATAATATGATTAGTTCATTATCTGATAATAAATACAAAAGATTTATCGCAAACAAATCACAAAATTTTGCATTTTTTATATGGCAGTTTATTATTTTTTTAATTTTTAAAATGAACAAAAATTCAAAAAAAAAAATATTTAAAAAAAAAAATGTTAATTCTTTACAATTTTTTTGTAAAGCCAATTAATGATTTCAAGAATTAAATATTATTAAATTGCATTTTTGAACTGAAATTAACATTTTATTGTCATTCCAATAAATTTTTTCATTTTATATATCTTTTAGTAATTATCAGATAATGCTTGTCATTTGTTTGTTTATTTTCATTTTCATTTTTTTTTTTTTTGATTATGTATAATGACAAGATAGAATGTGCAAAGTGAAGTGATTAATGATAATGATAAGATGTTAAGGATGATAAAATCAAGTGATTAATGATAAAATGTTAAGCTATAAAATGATAATAAAATAGCTTAGTGATTATTATTTAACATAAATATTTTTATTCCATTTTCAAATTATACATCATATTTTGTTCCCTCTTCAAACCATTTCAATCAGCAAATGATTGAAATAATTAATTTATATCATTGAGACAAATTAATATGTATATATTTTATTATTTAGGTATTAAATTTACTAAATTTTTAAAAATTAGATACTAAATTTTGCCATTAATTTGAAATGAATAATAATAATAATAATAATAATAATAATAATAATAACAATAATAATAACAATAATAATAATAACAACAACAATAATAATAATAATAATAATAACAGTAATAATAATAATAATAATAATAATAATAATAATAATAAATAATAATAATAACAATAATAATATTAATAATAATAATAAATGATTACGTGAAACTAAGATTTAATTCAATTAATTATATTTCATATTAAATTATTATTTGTTAGTTAGTAATAAAAAAAAATTCTTTGCTTTTAATTTATTGAAATTTAATTTATTAATTATTATATGCATTTATTCATTTATGCATTAAATTGATCAGAAAATATGATCAAAATGTATGATACATTTATATTTCAATTATAAAATGAAATTGATAAGACAAAATTTAATCGTATTGCACTTTGGTATAAAATAAATGTGAAACAAGGAAGAATGAAAATAAAAAAGGAACGAAAGAGAATGACAATAATATTTAAAAGTTTTGAATCTTTTTTTTTTTTTTGGTGACAAAAGTTTTTATTGATAAAAATATTGAATGATAATGATAAGGTAAAATGTTTAAAATTAAGAAAGGGAAAATAAAAAATGAAGATTTTATCAATTTATATTTTTGACAATTGATTTAGATTTTTAATTTTTTGAAATCACTAAGATTTAATAATAAAATTTAGCTTAATCATGTAATTAATATATCAGAGCTATGATAATAACATTTTGCTGAACAGAAAATTTTTTGATTCTTCTAAATGCTTAAATTTGAAAACAAAAAAATTCTTGTAAGTTAATTTTGATAAATTTGAGCAATTCAAAATGAATTTACAAAATAGCATCAATCAATGAACATTCTAGCATGATCAATACTTACTTACAGGTATGATTGACATCTGATCAATACTTACTTACAGGTATGATTGACGTCTGATCAATACTTACTTACAGGTATGATTGATATCTGATCAATACTTACTTACAGGTATGGTTGATATCTGATCAATCTGATTTGATCTCGATCAATACTTACTTACAGGTATGATTGACATCTGATCAATACTTACTTACAGGTACGGTTGACGTCTGATCAACCTGATTTGATCTCGATCAATACTTACTTACAGGTATGATTGACATCTGATCAATCTGATTTGATCTCGATCAATACTTACTTACAGGTATGATTGACATCTGATCAATCTGATTTGATCTCGATCAATACTTACTTACAGGTATGATTGACATCTGATCAATACTTACTTACAGGTATGATTGACGTCTGATCAATACTTACTTACAGGTATGATTGATATCTGATCAATACTTACTTACAGGTATGGTTGATATCTGATCAATCTGATTTGATCTCGATCAATACTTACTTACAGGTATGATTGACATCTGATCAATACTTACTTACAGGTATGGTTGACGTCTGATCAACCTGATTTGATCTCGATCAATACTTACTTACAGGTATGATTGACGTCTGATCAACCTGATTTGATCTCGATCAATACTTACTTACAGGTATGATTGACGTCTGATCAACCTGATTTGATCTCGATCAATACTTACTTACAGGTATGATTGACGTCTGATCAACCTGATTTGATCTCGATCAATACTTACTTACAGGTATGATTGACGTCTGATCAACCTGATTTGATCTCGATCAATACTTACTTACAGGTATGATTGACGTCTGATCAACCTGATTTGATCTCGATCAATACTTACTTACAGGTATGATTGACGTCTGATCAACCTGATTTGATCTCGATCAATACTTACTTACAGGTATGATTGACGTCTGATCAACCTGATTTGATCTCGATCAATACTTACTTACAGGTATGATTGACGTCTGATCAACCTGATTTGATCTCGATCAATACTTACTTACAGGTATGATTGACGTCTGATCAACCTGATTTGATCTCGATCAATACTTACTTACAGGTATGATTGACGTCTGATCAATACTTACTTACAGGTATGTCACTTTTCATCGATTATTTTTGAGCTAGAAAAATGAGGCAAAATAATCGATGCTACTACTATAAATTTTTCCAGGCGTAAGCAATCACATCCCATTCATACATCTCTTTTCCCTCTTTTTTTTTTTTTTTACCCATCTCTTTTTTACCCGCCTCTCCACTTTTCTTTTCCCTCCTCCCCAAAAATGTTATGGCTGCTCTTACTGCTACACATTCACTCATTCACCATTTTGCCTGCCCATATCTCAACCCGACCGTTTCTCCTTTCCCTCTTGCCTTCCCGTTTCATCGATATACCCACCCACACATCAATCAATCAGCCACGGTGCAAGGTGGTTAACGGGTAATAGCTTCACTCTCTCTTTCTTTCCTTTCCGCATTTTATTGATCTTTTTAGTCTATTCATTTCATCACTTTACACACACATATACTTTCCCCTACCCATAATACTTCATCTTACCCTGGGAATTATTGATCATTTTTGATTTATGAACAAATGCTATCATTCCTTATCATTTTAATCAATTATTCTAGCTAAATGATTTTACTAGCATCAAATCAATATCTTTTCCCTAAACTATTTATTGGGCAATTTTCATTTTCATCGATTATTTTAGCCAAATATTTTTACCCTCCATTAATCAATCAATCAATATCTTTTCCCTAAACTATTTATTGGGCAATTTTCATTTTCAAATTATTTCTAACTAACATTTTTTTTTATCTTTTATTGATTAGCCAATTTTGTTAATGTCGTCGTCACCTATCAGTTGACCAAATATAATTTCTTCTATTGTCTGCTAATTTTGCTTGGCTCATTTATGGCTATGGCCAATAATAATAGCATTGAAAATTTTTGAAGTATTCAAAGATATGATATATCATTTATCAGAGCTGTAAGGTCACAGTTCACATTCAGACTATAAAAATGAGACTAGAGTAATATTAGCATGGAGAAAAAAATACTGT